TGGAGAATTGGTCATTTTTCCAGTGAGTCTTTGCGTAGATGAGTGTAATTGTAACTTTTGAACATAATTCACCGTTTGGGCTTTAGATTTCACATGTAGTGTCACGTGACTTTGATGTAAACAAACCCAAACTACGGCTTTGGAAATTTTTCTTAAATAACCTCCCACTTTCAAGAAGTGTTCTTCGCTCAAAATTGGCGTCTCTCTTTTATCATTTTCTGATCATTTATCTAGCGAGTTGTCATTTCGCTGCCATTGAAACAGATGCGAAGCGTTACAGGAACAATTGAGGCATGGAATAATCAAACTAGTTCTGCGTACAGAGGATCATGTCTCTGATTAGGTATTTTCGAGGTGTTATGTGCGTAGATTGTTAAAAAAAAAAACACTTCTGTCAGCAAATTAGTGCCCGTGATTCGCTGTAGAATATGAGGAAGCCTTGATTCCCAAACGTAAAACCAATTTTAACTCTATGAACGTGTACGATTGTAGTTGTTTAGTAAGTGTATACCTAAACATAATGGTTACGACAAAGAAATGTGCTTATGGCACCTACAAAACGATTCACAATACCTCAACTCCTGGGTAAGACAATCTAAGCACTAAACACCCTGAAAATACCTGATCAGATACATCACTGCAAGCAGAACTAGTTTGATTATTCCATGCTGCAACGCTTCCTGTAACATTCTTCGCATCTGCTTCAACAGCGACGAAATGACAACTTGCTTGACACACAATCAAATAAATGATAAAAGAAAGATGCCAATTTTAAGCGAAGAAACATTTTTTGAAAGTGGGCAGTTATTTTAGAAAAATTTCCAAAGCCGAGTGTGGACACATGTACGGTGGCCCACAGAGGACAGCTGCAAGCAAATGTATATTGGTGCAAAGAAATATATGTGGATGTAAACAAATATATATCGATGCAAAAAGAATAAAACGTTATGTAAAATTAATAAAATTTTGATGCAAATTAACAAAAGTTCCAAAAAATAAAAGCAAATATTACGACAAATTAATAAATGCTGCTGCAAACAAATAAATGTTATTGCTTCAAACAAATAAAAGTTGCTGCAAATAAGTAGAAGTTGATACACACGTACGGTCAAAGAGGCTATCCATAGAAGACTTCATCCCAACAAAATCAATAGGGATAGCGGAATCAACATTCCTGAAGCTTGGACACCCACGATCAAACAACAGAACAGCCGATTTACCCTTATGAACTGAATTCCCAGTTTTCTGGGAATTACTAGGAATTCTCAAAAATTCCCAATTATGCAAATAAGCTCTGATTTGAAAAGCTTGGAATTACTGGGAATTTCTGGGAAAAGAAGACGCCAGTTTTTCCCAGAAACTCTAAAAAATTTCCAACTATTTTCCAATTTTCCAACTGAATTCCCAGTTTTCTGGAAATTCCTAAGAATTCTCAAAAATTCCCAACTATACAAATAAGCTCCAATTTGAAAAGCTTAAAATTCCTAGGAATTTCTGGGAAAGGAAGACTCCAGTTTTGTGAGGACTTGGAACTCTTAGAAATTCTCAAAAATTCCCAACTATGTAAATAAGCTCTGATGTGAAAAGCTTGGAATTACTGGGAATTTCTGGGAAAGGAAGACTCCAATTTTGTGAGGACTTGGAATTCCTTGGAATTGCTAGGAATTTTCAGCTATACAAACTACCTAAGAAGGGTTGAATTCTTAGGAATTTCTGGGAATTGAATTTGAGGCAATTTAAATACCCTGATGTCCAAAGAAATTCCAAGAAATTCTCAATACCTTGAATGTAAAGGTTTCAAGACAAGGAGTAATTTTAGAGACTTAAAACTTTGGCCCAGTAAAAGGTATGCTATACAAAATTTACCAAGAGATATTCATACATGTATATGTTTATAACCTAAAGATCATGAAATTTATTATTCTAACTAAGTTTTCGAAAATCTTTACATTACACCTTTTGCTGTTCATTTACGCAAGATGTACATTCATTAACGTCAACAGTTGAAACTATACGGTAAATATACATTCATTAGCACTTCCATGAAATTCATGAACGCGAACGAACTTTCAATAACGCTATTTCCATATGTATTAACATTCAATAGCATCAACGGATGAACAATTGCACCTTTGGACAATCAAACATAACAAATATACTTTCAATCTCGCGTAATGATTGATCATTAACACCAATAGAAAATCAATTGCATAGTATGACAATCAATTGCGTATTAGAGACATTCAATAATACAATTTGCATAGAGACGTACATTCAATTGCACCTTCATACAATCGTTTATTCGATATGGTCAATCATTAATGTGAACTGACAAACATGTGTGTAGTAATAACAATCACCTAGGGAAAAAGAAATTTCAAAATTGTTCGATTGCAGTGTACTGTAATGTAATGTTTTGTAATTATCCTTCAATTTCTTCATTATTTAAACATCTTGGAATGTACGTTTGCATAAATCTGTACCACTGTCCACATTTAGCAGCCGTGATGGTGCCTATGTTTCTCTGCAGGGCCTGAAGTAGCAATTGAGTGCGGAGGTTGCCTAACGCGATTCCTTGTCGTCTTGCCTCTGCTCTGTTGTTCATCTGTTCTTGCTGCTCTGGACGGCTTATGTCCGCTTCTATGGCTGCTTTTAAGGCACTTATTGCTTGCTCTACAATGTTAAGAAACGGGCTGTATGGTGGTAGCTTTTTAAGCTCAGAGTTAGGACCAGGAATGGCAGGATTGTTGTGGGCTAGTGCACCGTCATAAATGAAAATCACATGTTCATTTGGGTCGAGATTTAGCCTTGTCTGTGACAGAAAATCATTAAATCTTTGTCCATTCATTCCACCGAGAAATGCCGAGTGAAAAACGAGTCCATTGGTGGGTGAAATTGCCAGTGCTACAGTAACATTTCTCCCTCGCTGACCACATTCTTGTCGATATGCCCTCTCTCCCATCCTTGCTCGTCCGTGACTTCTTGCTGTCCAAATATTGTACCCACACTCGTCTACGAAAATACTATGATTCACTACAGCATGGCGCATGAACCAGTTGGCATAGTCGACTCTTTTTTGCAGGACATCAGGGCGGTTTCGTTCAACTGGGAGTGGCCTTGCCAATTTCACACGATACAACATACCTTCAAGTGTTCTTGCTACTGTACGGTCATGGATTGTTGGTTTTCTTGGAAGACGCTGTCTCAATTCTTGATTTATCTGTGCTAGTGTCAGCAGGCAATTTTCGTTCAAAATGTCATTCAGGCAATTCCTCATTTCATCATCTACTCGAACATGATTTGCTCCTCCTCGTGGTCTCTCCGCGATCCTTCCTTCTCGCAAGTATCGTGCAACGATACTTCTTGCCGTTGAACGGTTCACTCCGATTGTAGCGGCAACCGTCAAATAATCTTCATTCACATCTTCGAAGGCTTGAATAATTATTTGACGCTGTTCAAGTAGGATTCTGTTTCTTGGTGGCATGATTTTCTCCGGTTATTTCTGTCTACTTGCTCATACAGCGTACAGTGTACTGAACATGTAAAATGTTCTTCATTTTATATCTGCTTCAGCAAAATATTTTGCAAAAAGGAACATAAAATTTAAATGATAATGTACATACTCTTGTATTTTTGTTCAGTATTATAAAATACATGTAACTACGATGAATGACACTAATGAATATTTTTTTCATCCTATTGTTTATTCGAAAAACACCTATGTTTGTTAGTTCACGTTAATGATTGACCATTTTGAATAAACGATTGTATGAAGGTGCAATTGAATGTACGTCTCTATGCAAATTGTATTATTGAATGTCTCTAATACGCAATTGATTGTCATACTATGCAATTGATTTTCTATTGGTGTTAATGATCAATCATTACGCGAGATTGAAAGTATATTTGTTATGTTTGATTGTCCAAAGGTGCAATTGTTCATCCGTTGATGCTATTGAATGTTAATACATATGGAAATAGCGTTATTGAAAGTTCGTTCGCGTTCATGAATTTCATGGAAGTGCTAATTAATGTATATTTGCCGTATAGTTTCAACTGTTGACGTAAATGAATGTGCATTTTGCGTAAATGAACAGCAAAAGGTGTAATATGGATTTCCTCATGAAGCAGCAATCAATTATGTTAAATGCAAATTGCCAATTACTCTTGACCAATGTACTACTACTCGTCAGGAAGCAAACCATCGTCACGATTTAAAGGAGCGTGGGCGGAGTTAATATGCCAAGCCTCCAAACAAAGGCGCTGGTGGTAACGCCGATAAGTAGTGATAATTTTAGAATTATCCCACCCAATTGTATGGTTGGTCAGGCATGTATGCTCCGATAAAGCTAAATTTTCCTTTTTGCAAAGAAAAACCGCTTTTTGGTGCTCTTTTAACCGTGTACCAAACTAACGTTTGGTCTGTCCGATGTATTCGTTGTCACAGTCATTGCAAGGAATAGAGTAAATGGTGTCGGTTCGTTGTTCTTTCGTGACAGGATCCTTAGGTTTGGCGAAAATGTGCCCCAAAGTCTGAAAAGGTTTTTTTTTTTCACTTTAAATCGTGACGATGGCGGTTTGCTTCCTGACACCTATTTACACCTCGTCAGAAAAAAGGCCGCTGATTAGTGATCATATAAAAGGACCTCTTGTTGCAGCGTTTAGATCACCCCTGATGAAGGCACTAGACAGGAGTGTCGAAACGTTGGGTCTATGAATTGTAACTTCTTCGGTTACATTCATTAAATCTGCAAACCAGAGTAGCATCAAGCCATGTCTGATTGTTCACCTGGTTGCCGTGTGAACTTTAATATATTTTATTTACGAGAAAAGCATGGTCAAGCTGTTGTTACAAGGGTCAACCGGCTCGCGGACATCAGAGTCCGCATTGCAAGTATCGCTGCCATTTGTATTTCAATCACCGTTGTAAAGAAAACTATGTGCTTCCGTCGAGTTTGAGATTTCGGCCTCCTTTACGGAGTGCTAAAGGATACAAGCTCATGGTCCGTACTGGTTTTTCTTTTCTTAAGCTACGAATATATGAATATCACAGTTCCATACTGCGGTTGCGTGCGTTATTCTCTCGTTCGAGAGTTCGGGTCGAGGAGTTTTGCAGTTCGAAAGAACTGCCGACGTTTACCAAACAGAGAGAGAAACACGACAGAAAACTATGTCACTTGCTCAGTAAGAGGTCTCCTGTTAATTCAGGCTCATTTCTGAAAGATAAATGGGTCATGAACCTTTCCTCCAAGGAGTTATCCGCGCTGGAACGGAGTAGTTTAGAGAAGGGTCTGAAGTTTGCTATTGCTCCTCGCAAAATACCGACTGCCGAAATTGTCGCCGTTGTTGAGGATAGTATCTCTCAACTCGACGACGATCGTAGGCATTTGGTAAGAGCAGAAGTAAGTAGCATACTCAGGCGTGCTAAACCTCCTCCCAAAAACATTCAAAAGGATGTTTTCAATGCGCTTTTAGCTCTCAAAAAGGATCCGGACAGGCTCGTATTATCTGCTGACAAGGGTAATTGTGTTGTGGTTATGGACAAACAGCAATATCACGACAAAGCTTTGTCTCTGCTTAATGACAAGAGTACGTATGCTGTCTTAAACTCTGATCCTACCAGTAAAACTCAAAGAAAGTTAAACAAAATGTTGCTTAATTTGAAAAAAGCTGGTAGAATTAGTGACTCTACGTACAAAATGTTATACAGTAGTAACGGCTTATGTCCACATTTTTATGGCTTACCTAAAATTCATAAACCGGGAATTCCTTTGAGACCTATTGTCTCTTTTGTTAATTCTCCGACTTATGCAATTTCTGGTTATCTTGCGAGAATTTTGTCGCCTGTTTTTGCGAATACTGATTACACTGTCAAAAATTCCTGCGAATTTGCGGATTTCATAAGAGATAACACTCTTGACGCTTGTGAAGAATTAGTATCTTTCGACGTTGTTTCGCTCTTCACCAAAATCCCAGTTGATCTTTCCGTTAAGGTTGCGGAGGAATGACTCAGAGAAGATGCTTCCCCAGGACAAAGAACTTCTTTGCCTGTGGAGGATATTATTCATCTGCTGTCTTTTTGCCTCAAAACCACGTAATTTACATATAACGGCACATACTATCAACAAGTTTTTGGTACAGCGATGGGTTCGCCCGTCTCTGCTGTCATTGCTAACATGGTAATGGAAGACGTGGAACAAAGGGCCTTAGCCACTTCACCGGTTAAACCCTTTTTCTGGAAACGATATGTCGATGATGTTATTTCTGCGGTATCCGGAAATGAAGCGGAGCGCCTCTTGTCGCATTTGAATTCAGTAGAGCCGTCGATCCAATTCACCCTTGAGCGTGAAAAGGATAGACATTTGCCCTTTCTTGATTTAAATGTGTCCAGAGGGGTACAGGGTAATTTAGAGACAAGTGTCTACCGTAAACCTACACACACCGACAAATACCTCGCTTTCGATTCTCACCACCCTATTTGCCATAAAAAGTCTGTAGCCAAAACTTTACTTAGGAGGGCTGACTGTCTACCATCTTCACTCGATTCGAAGGCTGAGGAGAGGAAATATGTTTCCAATGACCTAAAGGTAAATGGCGATACAAAAACTTTTCTCTGTAACTGCCAAAAACCAGTTACAAATAGTAACGCTCTTGATGAAAGGGAACCAGCGACTGGTTTTGCTGTTATTCCTTACATACAGGGTATTACTGAACCCATCAAGAGAATTTTGAATAGCCACAACGTTAAAGTTGCTCAAAAACCTTTTCAGACTTTGGGGCATATTTTCGCCAAACCTAAGGATCCTGTCACGAAAGAACAACGAACCGACACCATTTACTCTATTCCTTGCAATGACTGTGACAACGAATACATCGGACAGACCAAACGTTAGTTTGGTACACGGTTAAAAGAGCACCAAAAAGCGGTTTTTCTTTGCAAAAAGGAAAATTCAGCTTTATCGGAGCATACATGCTTAACCAACCATACAATTGGGTGGGATAATTCTAAAATTTATCACCACTAATCGGCGTTACCACCAGCGCCTTTGTTTGGAGGCTTGGCATATTAACTCCGCCCACGCTCCTTTAAATCGTGACGATGGCGGTTTGCTTCCTGACGCCTATTTACACCTCGTCAGAAAAAAGGCCGCTAATTAGTGATCATATAAAAGGACCTCTTGTTGCAGCGTTTAGATCACCCCTGATGAAGGCACTAGACAGGAGTGTCGAAACGTTGGGTCTATGAATTGTAACTTCTTCGGTTACATTCATTAAATCTGCAAACCAGAGTAGCATCAAACCATGTCCAATAATTAGATTGTTATCTACACTTAAAGAACTTTGTTAGAGATGAATATAGGTCACTTCCCTAACCTATATTACTGGTTGCCTTGGTTAGAAAACCTTGGAACAGTCAAGTTCAGTTGCCTCAAACACTGTCAGAGACTTTTTGTTCAGATTATTTTTAGTAGAAATTTCATGCCTTAGACAAACAAATTCAACACCAGATTAATTTTTTTTTAATAATTGTTGCCGTTTTTTTTTCAGTTTTCGTGATTGATTGCTGTTATTTGTTTTTCTATTTGTATTCTTTCAAAACATTTTTGTAAGAGTTCCAATACTTATGGATCATCTGCACACCCCGCAAACATTGGACATGCAGACAAGACAGAGGTGGTCACTATTCCCTTTCAGAAAAAACACCTTTTAAATGACTTCTTCAATTTGCTTTATTTGAAACTCTGATCTGAAAATATTTTTAAAACAAGACTTGTTAATAGTGAGAAGTACAAACGGAGTTTCCTTTCATAACTTAATTTCTTAAATGTCCCAATCACTGGACCTCCTAAAAATACAAGTCTTTCTTTATATACAAATGAAAAGTGCAGGTCACACTTCAATAATAACAGCTCTTAAGTGTACTTGTTATTCTTCTCTGGGTCAACTATCAACAAAATTGTGTTTTACTTTGTAGGTCTGTTATAAAATTTTACTTTTAGTGTAAAATGACAACCTTGTATCTTAGTTCTCTACACCCCTTTCCAAGCTCGGGAACGCTTCGGACAGTACATAACCATCTGTGGACCAGAATTCCAACGCACCTCTGTAATCGCATTTAGTTGCTTCTGTCTCTTGTACAAATGTTTCTCCTTTATGGGATGCACTTGACTCTGTTGGCACCACTGCTTTTGGTTCAGTGGAAACGACAGACTGAGGATTCGAGATGGCTCTGTTGAAACGTGTTCCTGAACGCTTGTTACGGTCAAGCTTTTTTTGATTTGAGTATACTGGTGCACTGGGATCATCTAGGTATCTCTTATATTTCCTAATGTGGTATCCTTTTATAAAAATGAGGGTAAAACACGATTTGTTTTCGCATTCAAAATTGTGATTGGCTTTTGTTGTTTCTCATCTTTGACATGCACACAACTCTAGAGGGTTTTGAGTCTTTGTTTCCTCGACAACTTTCGGCCACAAATCGTGCATTTGTAGTACAATCTATTCTTTTCGATTATTTCTAGAAGAAGAAGGCCTTGGGTAAGTGCTGTTCTTCGATGCTGAAGTCCAGGGCTGTTGGCTCCGCAGCTGGTCTAAGGCGCTGCCGATGTCTGTTGGCTTGTCTGGCGATTAGTTCGGGACTCGGCACGGCAGGACACGGAACATCCGTCAGTTTTTCAAGAAGTACCTGAAAGAGAAATGTAACGTCCAATTACTATGAAACTTCAGAATATGTTTATTTAAACGGGTAACCGATATCCTTAGTATTTCTAGTAATTTACTACAGTATTAGTTACCTCGTCAATAATAGCCGACGCTGGTTTAATGATGTCCTCTACTGCCTTGACTTTCACCAGCGCGGTGATTTTGGCCGCCGTCAATGCTCCCATTTGAGCGTGGTGATTGTGGACATGGTTGCCGCACTGGAACTGGTCGCCGCGCTGACTAACTGTGGCCCTACATGGGTTGACTTTGGGACGGATGGAACACTGCCAGTCAGTGACAAAGCCTCGCCTTCTCTGTAGTATTTAACTGTACCCCTGGCTGTCTATCAGCTTCAGCCGGCCTCTTTTGGAACTGTTCTCCACGATCTCGACAACATACGGACTGTGGTGTTTATGCTTAAAACACTGAAAATTTGGAAGCAAACACAACGATATTTAATCAACATGCTGGACGATACCCCACTACCGAAAAACTCATTTTTCTATTGGACCGCGTGCGCATTCCGAACACTGTGATCGACAGCTGTCTGAAACACTACGTCTCTCCCCTTCTTAATTAGTGTGGTTTAGCAAGAGGACGGAAACGTCATTTCAGAGCGGCGCGCGCAGCAAAAATGCCGATAACAAACTAAGTCGTAGGGTTAAAAGTGATTTAGCAAGGGAAATGTGCAGCAAATTCTTGTTCTAGAATATCAATTGACTATCGTTGAAATTCACGTCGTAAATGTGAAGTTAAACAGCTACAATTTAGGGCAACGAAATTAGTGTTACTGTACACCACTTGTCAAGCGCCAACATGGACGACTACGGCACGAGTTACACGTTAGGACTTGGTTTGGATACCAAATGAGGTGAATTCAAAATTCTACTTTGACTTAAACAAAATTTGGGAGGGTAGTTTTATTTTAATTTCTGTAGAATTTAGCCCATTAAATACGTTTTTGTGAAATTTGTGTAATTGTCGTCATCTTTTTATGCGAGTTGTTTTCGTGAGAACGGCTTTCGTGATCTCTGTATTGCGACTCCTTGGTGGCTTCCATATCATTGATCAAGGCAAGTGGTGGCTTAAGCTCCGTCCGCGATGCTCTGTTAACAGCCAACTTCTTTGATATTATTGACGATGACGAATTTGTTCTTTATGACGCCTATTCGTCAGAACCTATTTTCCCATACTGGAAATTCCCCAGATTCAGTGTAGACGACTGGGGCGATGTGAAGTGTAAGACCGAGCTTAGATTTGCGAAGAAAGATCTGCCTGAATTATGTGAATGTTTAGGAATTCCGGAAAAAAATTTCATGCGTGCAAAGAACAGTATGTGCAGGGATGGAGGGCGTGTGCATTTTGTTGAAGAGGTTAGGATACCCTTGTAGATACACAGAAATGGTACCCCGCTTTGGCAGGAATCCAACCGCGCTCTGCTTAATCTTAAACACTATGATCGATTTTATCTACGATAATCATAACCATCGACTTTGCAGCTGGGATCCGAGTTCTTTTTACAGCCTATCCAGCTGTACAGCTATGAAGAGGCTGTGCACCGTCTTGGTGCTACATTAGGCAATTGTTTCGGATTTATCGATGGTACTGTGTGTGGAATAGCGAGGCCACAAGAAAACCAAAGGGTTATGTACAATGGCCACAAGAGAATACAGCCCATAAAATTTCAGAGTGTTGTCATCCCAAACGGACTAATTATAAACCTTCATGGCCCCTTTGAAGGTAAAAGACACGACAGCACGATGCTCCAACAATCAGGCATTCTCAATAAGCTTCGGAGGGTGGCGTTTCATAATGGGTATCTTCTTTGTCTTCATGGCGATCCTGCATACCCTATGGGTGTTCACCTTCAGGCCCCTTTTAAAAACATTCAACTCACTTCACAAATGGTTTTGTACAATGCGGCCATGAGTAAAGTAAGCGTTGCAGTGGGGTGGCTTTTTGGTAATATTACAAACTATTTTAAATTTATTGATTTTAAAAGCCAATTGCAATTTAACTTGAGTTCAATGGGGAAATTTTACATTGTCTGTGCCCTTTTGGAAAATGCGTTGACCTGTCTGTATGGTCTGCCTTCTGCCAACTGCCTTCTTTACAGGACTACTTCCAACAATTTGAATTGTTTCATTTTGTACTTTGGCCAATAGAAGCTTACACATACTGATGTTGGAGGGTTAAAAATTTAAAGATAAAATTGTATTAGTAAGGACTTGTACATTGTTTAATACTTTTTTTATTTTGCACAGAAACTGCATTAATTTGTGTCACTCTTTTAGGTGCTTTTTCAAGATTTGAAGACTTTGGTGAAATCACCCACTTTTGTAATTTTAATATTTGTCTTAATCTTAAGTCTGAATTTCTACTTGTTTGGTAACAGGGTGTAGTCACGGAATTTTATAATTTCATTTTCTAGGCCTGGAAAGTCTTAGAGTTTAGGATTGGCTCTTGGAATATCATGGAAAGTCATGGAAAATTTGTAGCCTTTCTTTGAGTGTAAAGGATTGTAGATCCAAATTTGAAAAATTAGCTTAGGAGTGAATAGAAAAAAAAATTTACTTCAGTCGACCTAATGCTTGTGGACATTTCTGTTTACACTTAATTCTTGTGTGACATTTATGCACGTTATTGTGCCATCTAGGATTTAATCAATTTGGACACTTGCTAACTTAGGTCATGGAATTCCTTGAAAAGTAATGGAATTTTCACAGCTCAAAAGTGTATTACCCCTGGCCCCTGGTTAATGTGTACCAATTACTTTATCTGGTAAACACAAAATTTGTTTTATGATTATACACAGTCAGTGTTTGAGCCAGAGCGCGAACCTACGACATTCTTCCTTTTGAGCGACGACTTCTCCCTTAAAATTTGACGACCGGGCCGTAAATGCCCCCCACGATCAGAAGTATTTGTGGAGCTGGTTTCTTCTAAATAAATGTATTTAATTCTTTTTGGCTAGCATTTCACATTTTCAAGTAAAAATTGTTTATCAGCACCTTATAAATTGCTTTTAAAGACACTATTGTCTCACGCTTCGCTCCTCAAACAACATTCCAAACCTGTCACGTACGTAGAAGCCGTAAGCGTCGAATTTTGTCACATTACGCAGTTTCATCCACGGTTTTAGTATGTTCTTATTTTCGAAGTACTTGAACGTAGCAGATGCCAAAGTGTTTCCCAAAAAACTCTGCAATATTGTTATGAAATCCTGTCGTTCTACTAGATAAAGTATATAATCATTTGCCGAATTATTGCACACTCTAAGGGCCTGTTTACATGGAGGTGGGGGACCCCAGGTAGGTGAGATAACCCGCCTGTCCATATAATTTCTTATTTTATTTTGATCACATTTACAAGATAGCTGGGGTGACCCCCCTAGGCGGGTTGCCCGGTCTGCCAGGTAGGGTAACCCGGTCAGCCGGGGTGACAATTTGCCATGTAAACGTCTCAAGGTGGGGTAACCCGCCTAACCGGGGTCGCGTTCATGGCAAAAAGCTCAAAAGCGAAACATGTATGTTTAAAAACTTTGTACATTTCCTAGCCGTCTCACGGCAGAAATCACCAGAAACCGCGACGGACACACAAGGATTGTAAAATGTTCACATTTCAGAATATTTAGCGTTGTAAATCGAACATATTTGGTTTCTCAAACTATTCCGTATAAAGTATTAAGTCAACGGTTCCTCACGAAACCAAACACCGCGTAACACAACGCGTGACGCTTTCATGAATAAATACACATGTGTCCGAGAATTAATCTTTCGTCTTTTTCGAGATGTGAGCTTGAGACGCTTCTGCTCAAACTCCTTAATTGCAAGCGCAACAACAACCTTAAGAAACCTCACTCCAGCACCCGGGGTTTGCTTTCCATCGATTTTGACTTTGCAAGTTGGTTGCTTGTCACCGTCTATCGTGTAAACATATTCGTCATTTTCAGCCATGTCTTCAAACGTGGCGTGTTTTGCTGACTCAGTAGATTTGTACTGCAAACACGGGCAAAATGGTTTAGTTTGCCACATGATTTGCACTTCTTGTTTTTCGCAGGCCGTGAGTCTTTGTGAGGGTATGGTCTACCACAGTTCCTACATTTACCATCGTCTTTTCGGGAGTTACTGCGATTACGTGACTCGTAGCGGGTGCGTGGCTCCTCGCGTTTTGATGATGGCGCTGTTTCCCTTCAATGTTTGAGATGTGTCGAGGTTCCTTTCTTGTTAAACTTTACCTCGTGTACGGTTTGATCTTGATTCTCCAACTCCTTTGCTTATATTTCGCTTAATTCTAGGGCTCTACCAGCTTTTATGAGGCCAGGTAAGTCGAGGTCTTCTCGCAGAGATTTGCGCCGTAGGGAATTTTGACTCGCAGTTTAAGATGATCTGTTCTTTGATTTCTTTGTCTTGATTTGCGAAATCGCAAGTCTTCGCTAGGCTTCTCAGACGTGTGTGGAAATAGTCGAGGGTTTTGGAGTGCTCTCTGTGTGTTCTATGCTTGATCCTCGACGCCAGCTGTGGTGTTCATGCTTAAATAAACACTGAAACTTTGGATGCAACCACAACGATTGTTAATCAACATGCTACACGATACCCCACGACCGAAAAACTCCTTTCTCTTATGGACCTGCGTGCGCATTCCGAAAAGAAACACTACACGGACACACTACACCTCATTAATATGAGGATATGTTGTCTTTGCAGCGATGGCATCTAACCTAACTATTGGTTGTGAATCTATTGTTATTTTATACTTCTATTTGGTGAAAATTTTGCAAGATCATACCATAACTAAAACATTTCAAAATTTTATGCTTTTTACCTAATTTATTTTAGTGTTGTCATGGGAAAAAACGTTGAAACTCAAATAACTTTGAACTCAAAAATTTAAAAACTCACCTGGAAGAAACCTCTATTATTTCCATGCATACAGTACGGTTAACGCGCTTGCAAAGAATAGTGTTAGGCTGTTATTGTTTGTCTCCTGTCAATTCTGAAGAAAGGAGTGACGACACTTGATCACTTGATAGTACCTGTTCAGCTACTCATCAGGCACTGCTATCATACATAAACTAGAGTAACTGCAGTTTACAAAAATGCATGGTAGCATTACTCCCCCCGAGTGGTACTTTTTTGGTCATTTTCCCAGCCCATGGGCTTAAAAAGAAAAGAAACAACAATAACAATAGTAAAAACAATTCAAATTTATCGTTGTCAACGCTCTATTTCCGGCCCGATCGATCCTTCCGTAAATCACTCCTTCTTTGTGGAGTGCGTCCTTTTCCTATCAACCAATTAAGAAAAATTTTTATTATTTGGAAAACATACCGCTGACAAGGAGCCAAAATTACCCTGGGCTCGAGATTGTCCCTCAGAACTTAGGCACAGCCCTTCCTTATCGACGCATCAGCAAAGGTGTGATAAGATGGTGTCTTTCCGTGAACATCAAATCTACTTACTTTTTCTTCTGCTGGTGAAGTTTTACGGTTCAGGTAAGAGTGAAATTTATTCTCCCGTACAAAGGACTTTACAGTGTGTTTTTACCATGTGCCATTTTAAGCTTAGACACGAGCCGGAAACGCCGACCTTTATTTCTGAGCGTGATATTCGTCAAAATGATTTCCGAACTCCAAGGTGGCTTTCAGCAGTGTTTGTATTTCAAAATTTCGAAATGATGTTGCGATTTCAATCAAGTGATAAATGAAGTCTGAATAGCTATGATGTGACAGAAATCAAGAGCAAAGGATTTTATGCTTCAAATGTAACACTACTATAAGTTCAGAATTCAAGATCAAAATTGAAACTGAATGAGCTTTTTCCAGTTGTCAGTTATTAAAACGGAGCAAAATAACAAACGGCGCGACAGTAGCAGAGGAGTGAGAAAGTGTGAGAGACTATAGCACTGTTTACTATTGTGCTGTGCTGTATTAACTGAATGCCTAGAACAAGTGACGTGCAGCTGAGTGTGTCACTGATGTTCTTAGAACATTTTGACATCCTCTGTGATTTATCAATTTACAGAGCCATGCCAACATGGAATCTCTTTGTTTTATTTAAGAGGGAAGCAAAAATTATGGTTGCTATTGCTCACACTAGAAGTGCCTTTGTGGTGGACTCTTTTCAAGCCCTTCTTCCTAAATATTATCCTTACATGTGTAACTAAAGGGCTGAGAATATTATGTTTATGGTTTTTTATTTTAGGGGGTGTGGATGTGCGTTTCACCCAGGAACCTTCTAATCCAAGCTATTTTGACAATGGTAGTGATGCCAACCTGGTGTGGGACTACACTGATCCACTTAATAAGGTTCAGGGTACTCTCTTTAGTGTTCTGATAAAAGGTGCATTTGCCAGAGTGATTTTTAATGATAGTGGTGGTGTGCAAGAACATCCTAAAATTCCTTCATCTTACAAAGGAAGAGTTAAAATTGAAGGAAGAGCTACCCTGGTTATCAAGAACATCAACCCTGGGGACAATACCAAATTTAAATGTGAAATGCAGGGAAGCTTTACAGGGAAGCTTGAAAGTACAGTTCAGCTTATTGTGACAGGTATGTATTACAGACATAACCATTAATAACCAAACACAAATCAGTTCAGCTTATTGTGGCAGGTATGTATTACAGACATAACCATTAATAACCAAACACAAATCAAATGCAGTCAACTCGTGTCTCTCATATTTAATTTGAGATCTGGAGAAAGTGAATGATAGCATAAATTTGTGCAAAAACAGGGCTGAAAGTGACTAGCTAACCTGACTGTTGGGAAAACAATAGTGGTACTTTTACTGGGCATGTAACACCATGCTCTTAAGAGGAGAAAATAAATGCTACCATTTACTTTGCTGTTTCTCATCAGTAAGAAATCAAAGGGTTATTAAAGAGTTATTGCTCTATTCTTCTGGCACCAGCTACTGGGTTGCTCTGTTATGCACAGATAACTATTATGGGTAGGAGTACTGAGATTTTCTCTTAGCAAAGCTGTCAATCGAAAATGGTCAGTCAAAACTACGTAGAAACAATCTGAGTGGTTCTACGATTTTGCCACATGCTGTAGGTTAATAAGGAAAATATTGCACGACCAATAACAGGCAGCATGTGAAATTAATTTGATGTAAAAAAAATTGTAGTTCTTTTCATGCCTTTTAAAGGGACCTGCCAAATGGAATGAAAGTTGGCATTTCACTGTTTGCTGCTTTCTGAGGGATTACCCAGGTAAAATGTCAGGCGGGATATAGGCGGGATCCCGGCAATCCCACCCAGGATCCCAGGTGGGAATGGCGGGATCCCGCCTTAGGTGGTGGGATCCCACCTTTCCCACCTGGGATGAAAATTTGATCCCACCTGGGATCCCGCATTTAATGCGGGATTCCTGCATCCCACCCGGGATCTTAGGTGGGACTTATGCATTCTACCCGGGATCCTGGTTGGGATTTACATATCCCACCTACGAAAATATTGTTTTGCTGTTTTTCTTCTTACAAAACGTTTTTGTGAGAGTTCCAATACTTATGGATCATCCACACACTCCGCAAATATTTGGCATGCGGACAAGACAGAGGTGGTCACTGTTCCCTTTGAGAAAATACACCTTTTAAATGACTTCTTCAATTTGCTTTATTTGAAACTCTGATCTGAAAATATTTTTAAAACAAGACTTGTTAGTAGTGAGAAGTAGAAACCGAGTTTCTTTTCATAACTTAATTTCTTAAATGTCCCAATCACTGGACCTCCTAAAAAATATTACTTCTTTATATTTTTGGTGCAAAATACAATTCCTTCTTTACATACAAATGAAAAGTACAAGTCACAGTTCAATAATAACAGCTCTAAAGTTTACTTGTTGTTCTTCTCTGAGTCAGCGATCAACAAAATTTTTCTATACCTTGTAGGTCTGGTATAAAATTTTACTTGTAGTATAAAATGACAACCTTGTATCTTCGTTCTCTCCACCCCTTTCCAAGCTCGGTAACGCTTCGGACTGTGCATAACCATTTGCAGACGAGAATTCCAATGCACCTCTGTAATCGCATGTAGTTGCTTCTGTCTCTCGTGCAAATGTTTTCTCCGTTATGAGACGCACTTGACTCTGTTGGCACCACTGCTAGTTCACCGGAAAGACCGACTGAGGAATCGAGATGGCTAACTGTGTTGAAACGTGTTGCTGAACGCTTGTTGTGGTCAAGCCTTGTTGATTTGGGTACTGGTACACTGGGATCATCTAGGTATCTCTTATACTTCCTAATGTTATTGGCTTGTGTTGTTTCTCACCTTCGCCGAGAACATAACTCAAGTGGGTTTCGAGTCTTTCTTTCCTCGAAAACTTTCGGCCACAAATCGTGCATTCTTGTTCGATTCTTGTCGATTATTTCTACATAGAGTGAATTCACATCATTATTTATGTCATCATCAAAACATGAATCCAAGGTATCCACCATCTAAGAGAGGAGAACCGATCAGAAGAGACAGAATAATGTTGCGCGCTTCTCTTGAGACTGCAATGGGTCAAGCCAGCGGATTCTCTTTGCTAAAAGGTCCACGTGATCATGCCCGTGATCGGAAACAAAGAAAACTCCATTTGGCGCTCATCTTTGAATGTACTTTTCATCGGTTAACCGCTCTTGCTTCAAGTTGTTTCTTTTCTCAACTGTTTTGCTTAATATAACACTTCTAAAGATTGGTTTTATTGTGGTTTAATGGGAAAACGAGAGCAGCGTGAGTGTTTTAAATGAAAAGAAAGTCGTTGACGCCGTGAACTTAAAAGAAGGGACAATTAACAGTTGACATATCGACTGGTTCAAACAACGATCGAGTGGCCATTTAAAGCTAGGATTTTTAGAAGTTTGTGGTGAGTACAAATTGCCATATTCGTTACGTGATCAAAATCTTATCAAAGAATAGAAATAACGGCTTGAATTAATCTTACCTAACACTCAGCGCAACTGAAACTCAAATAATTCTGAGAATCGAATTGGTCGCTTGCATACTGCAGTTTCCTAAGCTTACACTTTACAATGAAATAAATCTAAGAGTAAGGTTTCAAGATTACTTTAGTCACATTTGGGAACATTCTGACCCTGCTTTGCTTTGAAAAATTCGACTGAAGAGAGAGCAGACTTTCAATCAGTACCTTTGTCAAAATTTTGATAACATGAATTATTGAGGTTTTGTCTTTCTTTTATTCTTTGATACACAACAGCCAATTTTTTTAAACGTTGAGCCTTATTACACTGTAGATGGTCTGCTTAAATGATGAAGAAAAAGTAATATGCTGAGTTTTGCTGTTATTCTTTAAGAATGTTCGGTTAAGAAATTTGTTAATAAAACAAGTCAAACACATGCTGGTTCATTGCAAATAAATTATGAGATCTTTATCACATATAGTCTGTGTATTCATGTACTGTTTGAATCAATTATGATCAATAGCTTGGTAAGACAATGGGATCCCATTGGAGGTGTCAGTGTGTTCTATAGCTAGTTGGAAAGTTTTGGACCCTCAGTGGATTGATGGGGTCTATAGCTCACCTAGAAAATTTTATCCTCTTAATTTTAAGATATCCTATCTAGTACATTTCATAAATCTGTGGTCTCCAGTGATAAACAGGATCCTTCAAAGGATTTTTCTGAAAGTGGGAAGCCATCTGTAATTTTATGCAGGGTCTAAACTGGGATTGGCAGGATCCCAGATGCAATCCCGCCTGGGATATGATTTCCCAGGTGGGAAACTATCTGAAATTTGAGGCAGGATCCTAAGACGGATTGGTGGGATTCTAGGTTTAATCCTGCCCGGGATGTGCTTTCCCAGGTGGGATGCTATTAGGAATTTAAGGCGGGATCCCAACTTCAATTGGCAGGATCCCTGTGGGATCCCATGCGGGATGTTCCATAATCCCAGGTGGGATCCCATGTGGGATGTTCCATAATCCCAGGTGGGATCCCATGCGGGATGTTCCATAATCCCAGGTGGGATCCCATGCGGGATGTTCCATAATCCCAGGTGGGATCCCATGCGGGATGTTCCATAATCCCACCCGGGATGTTCCATAATCCCACCCGGGATGTTCCATAATCCCACCTGGGATCCCATGCGGGATGTTCCATAATCCCAGGTGGGATCCCATGCGGGATGTTCCATAATCCCACCCGGGATCCCACCTGAAAAAGGTGGGATCCCACCTGGGACACACATGGGATCCCAGGTGGGATTGGCGGGATCCCACCTTATATTTTTACCTGGGTAGGATCTTCAAGTTTTACTGATGTAAATTTAGTCAACAGAATGATGACTTCCTCGAGTAATTTTCTGACACCAAGGAGCAAGTTGAGACTTAAAAGATTTGTGTGATGGAGCAAAGTTTTCTTAAAGTTATGAAAGCAATAACCCAACAAAGTCTATAGGAAATAATTTAACAATGATCCATGTGGCCAGGTAGGAATGCTGCATGTTCGTAGCAGAAGCTGTTATTGATGGAGGTCAGTTCAACAGCTCTAATTTTATTTCTGACTTAGTTTGCTCCACTGAGAAACTGGCTGAATTCCACAAAGAGCTCAAAGGGACTAAAAGTATTCAATTTCAATTTAGAGTATGAAACATTTTGTGAACTTATGTAACCTAAACTTTCCAAAAATGTTTCATGTATAAAATAAAACGGAAGCCTAATGTTCTTTGAACAGACTTTTTAGTCTTCTTTCTGAGTGTTTAACCTTTCTGTTTCAAATACAGCATCTCTGATGTCCTATCAACATTAAGTACATGAAAACAAGTGTGATATATGTGTATGTAACTTCTTGGTCAATTGACTGTGATTCAAGGTCAAAAGCCTTTGTAACATCTCAATACTATGTACAATAATAAATATTTATTAAAGGATTAAAGGATTAAAAACAAGCAAGTGAATGTTGTAAACAGAGAATTTGGATTATTCATAACAAGTGAACAAAATTGTTCAAGTGAGCAATGAGGTAAACTATTTACCTCATTGTTATCAGTGGTCTCCATACAGTCCATTCTTAATGCAGGAAATTAGTTCCTTTTCTTTGCATTGGACTTGGGTTTAAGAATGTTTTATTTGCAGGTACAATTCTTCAAAATGCAGAGGAAAAGTCGGAAACTCTCCCTTCTGCAAACTCCCCTTTCAGGACAATCATGATGAATAGTCAAATTATTTAATGTTTGATAAATGAACAATCAGTACAAGGAGTTGAGTAAGTTCTTCTTTTAACTTTAAGTAATGACAAGTTAAGCATTCAGCATGCCACTGGTGTATTCTTTTTATCCCAAAGAATCTATAGTTTCTCTTTCATCACAATATCAATTCTCTGGGTTGAGGATGTCTTCAGTAGATCCTTTGTCAGGCCAAGTTCCAAGTGAGGTGTGGCTTGATGGGCTCTGTTCCTAGTTGTTTGTGCAGCAGCAAACATTTTATGTTAAAAAATGGGAGTAGCTTAGAAGCCAGGGTCCTCAGCCAGATGAGTGACTTCCTTAATTCGCCCTTAATTCCACCTAAGTTGGGGCTCTGCTTTACAATTTAGCTTGTGAGCAAGTTCTCCAGTAGCTAGTGCCAACAAGGTAACTTGTACTGAATGAAGTTTAAGCCTTCTTATACTAGTTGGTTGTTGGGGACCAATTGCTGGATACTTTTGTTTATTTGATTTAAATTGGGTAAATTTTAAGACTCAGTCCAAGTAAGATTTGTTATACCATTTGAGGAATAATATAATCTCTTTTACCTTTCAGAGGCACCACTTATAAACCTACCTTTAGGAGGAAAACATTATATTGAAGGATCTCCTGTCACCATAAGCTGTAAAGCGTCTGGGAAACCACTACCAAATGTAGCATGGATTAGAAATGGAGTACAGAAAAGTTCAGGAAAAGGAGATGCGATTTTAAAGTTCAATAATATAAACAGAACAGATGCAGGACAATATACATGTCGAGCAAATAACTCAGTGGAAGTCACTTCCATTAACACAACAATTCTAGTATACTGTAAGTATATTTAACCTTAATTTTCTATTTCTGAATTAACTTTATTTGCAGTGTGAATCCTGTTATTGAGGTCAGTTGCACAAAATTGACAAATCTGTTTAAAAATGTAAGGAAACAGAATTCCACCTCAAAACCTGTTCGGCTTTGTATGCATTGGTCCCAAGTATTGGTTGTGACAATTGAATTTAGGAGGAATCATTGCTCCTAGGGAGGCGAAATTTTTTTTGTCAAGTGATTGCTTCAGTTGGACTGTGTTTAACTCGGAAAATAGCTGGAAGCCATTTGCAAGTCAACCCATTTCTCTGTTTAACTAGTGCACAAGGCTAGCACATTTTATGATTCTGTGTGAGGGCTCTGGGTGAGGCTCCATGGAAAGCTGAGAATTGGTCAAAATTCTAACTGTCAGCTGGGAAGTTACATGCTTGTTATACTGATAGCTGAGATTTGCTGAAGGAAGCGAAAATGAGCTGAAACTAAAACTGCATGCTTAAGATTTGCACACATATTTGCATGTGTGGCATTCAAAGAGATATACTATTTAAGGGCCAAAATCCATGTTAAATTTCATGATTCAAAGGCCTTACCACCTTATAATGAATACTTGACTGCTAAATAACACAAAAGTGATGGACTGTACAATGGAGTGATTTCAACCTTCACCTTTTTTCATTTAAAGACAGAGAAAGAAAAGACAAATGCTGTGCTTTAATAATTGATTTCCATGACTTTCTGGTTTGGAAGACTATGTAACCTGCAAGCACTATGCTGCTCCACTATGTGAGATACTTAATTGTTTCAGTGTTTGCATATGTGCAGGCATTCAACCTCTATTGTCAGGAGCTGGTAAAAATCAAACATGAACAGTATGCTAATCTCTAGATTTCAAAGTCACTCATCGTTAAAAAAAATTACACAGGGCGTGCTGTCTCGGAGACCTACATGTACTTCCATTTTTCAAGTCCAGAAATTGTCTCATATCTACTGATGTAAGGGAATACTTGTGCACTTTGAGCCATGTCACCATACACATAAATTTGACGTTATAATGATAACTTAATCTATGGACATAATTAGGATTATTGTAGGAAATCATATTTCAATAGAAATGCTGAACTTTGGAACTTGATACCATCTAGTATAAAAACAATCCACCATTTTTCCTCTTTTAAGACCAGCCTAAACAATATTTATCTCTCTTTTTAGTATAATTGCTTGGGTGATTATAGAGATGCACGCACTCTGATTGGTCGAGGTGTGCATCAAATCTTGTTTTAATCACCTTGCCAGAGGTGATTATAGCAGGAGGGCTAAATTTTAGAATGGCTGCCTCACATTTTTCCAGTGTTGTGCTGGAAGTGAAAAATTTGATAGGGGAAAATTCAATTCTGTAGAGCACAAAAGATGCTAATAAGTTTGGCATAACACTTGTTATGATTGTTGAACAATCACCCCAACTTCGTCTCAGGGATTGTTCAACAATGTTTACTTTGCTTCAACAAATAAATGCTAAATATATACTGGAATATATATATATATATATATTTTTTAATGTATATTAGTGAAATAAGTGTTAGATAGCAATTGGAACAGAAGTTCTGTTTCTTTCCCCCTTCACACCCCCAGAACTTCTGTTCCAATTTCTATCCAACCCCTACATTACTAACATACATTAAAAGAAAAATGTTTATATTTATTATATGGCTTAGTCTTTTGGCTGTTATAATGCATGCTCTGATTGACCAAAAGCAACATCAGAGCAGGTCATTATACAATGGTTATGCCTATGGGCTAATTCTGGATTATGTAAATTAGGAAGAGCACAAAATTAGTCCAGAAGCCAGGACCCTATAATTGGGTTGATTACAGTGATTGGGTCACAAAAGGTTTGATAGCAGATTTGATAGAATAATAACTGCTGATGTATGTTAAGTAGTTTGTAATTCTACAACCTTATACAACACCCTTTCAATTCATGGAAACAGGGCACAGCCATTTAACCACTGGTAATGCCGAAACTATTCACTTGTTATGACAGAAACCTTCATTTATAGTTACATCTTAACAACATTTATCCCAATCATGCTCAGGATGTGGAAATTGAGGTCATGTGACCTACCATATGACCTTGGAGGAGTCTAAATTACCTTCTATAACCGTTATAAGAATATCTATATGTCATCTATGGCATAAATTTGTGAAATATCCCTTAGTATTCTACGATTATTTATGAAAGGATTGCACAATCCACAGTTTCAGCCAAGTGTTTGCTTACTAAGCTTAAAGCAATGAGATAAATATCATTTTTGCCCAATTTAAGATTTAACATGAAAAAGAGGGGCAGTTAGGCAACCACTGTTTGCAGCCATTTTGTATGTTTTTGTGAAAAAACTTCTGATTATATCAATATCATTAGCTCTTAATGGCAGGAAGCTAGCTATGCTCAACTTCTACTAATTATGTCACATGACCAAGCATGTGACCTCCAAGGAGCTTAAATTCACCCTCTTGCCTTAAAGTGAAATCATGCTTGTGTCATCTTTCCAAATCTTGTATTTACACCACCTCTTACCTTAGAGCGATACATACTAAAAACACAATATTATAACTTATTTTGGTTCTTATCTCCATCATTAATTGACAGAAAGCAATCCTCTTTAGTATGGTTGCCTCATAACAGTTCCTCTTCAAAGGTGCTCTCTTCATTGCTTTCTTCAGTGTCACTGATATAGGTCAGACCATAGTGGTTCTTACATCCTTCATTGTCTGCCATGCAGAAGCACCCTTCTGTGCAAGGAAGTCCTGTGTTGCTGCAGGAGCAGTTCTGCTGGCAGGCAGACATTTTGCACAGGCACATTGTAAGCTTGAGAAGGTTTACTGGTGCCAGTGCTTTTGTGATTGGCTGTGGTACAAGGAACTCCTTGTTCCTCATCCATCCATGACCCTCCAGTGATTTAAGATCCTGCATAGCTTCAAGGACATGACTCCACATGAATGCTTTGTAGTTTGATTGCTTTAGATGTTGAAGTAGGCAATCAGTTGTTGGTGGAAGCAATTCATTTTTCTGCTTATTTTGGCAGAACATGAGATAACATAATTCATCTGCAATGCTTGTCTTTCTGTGGCCATGTGTAAGCTGCAAACATAGGCTTTGCTTTTTCCAAGTCGGTAGAGAGCAACCGACAGGAAATTGCGTAGGTTCAAGCATACATCAAATGCAATGAATGTTGACGATTGCTACAGCTTTAAATTGTGGGTAACGAAACTAGAAACCAATGGTGGAAATAAAATATGCTGTACTAAATAATTCAAGCCATACCTTTTTTTTTTGGATTGGCAAGATACTTTCCCCATTGTCTTGGTACTGGAGTGGCAGGACCTTTGATTTGCATTTTAAGGCCAATTAATGTCTCCCTTTGCTGACGCTCACCTCCTTTTATGAAGTTGCTCAGTATTTGTTAAACATCACGTGGACTTGCAGACAGTTGCTAGAAAAGAGGGGGGAACTGAAGATGTTGAGATATTTTTGTAAGAGTTCACCAAAGGTATCTGCTTCAGGAGATTTTGTCAACTGTAGGACTGCCATGCCATTGATAACAACAACCTGTGGATTTCTTGATGCTGTAAGTTGCTGAACTACATGAATGTCTTTCTATAGAAGAGAGCATAGCGTGCTCTTAACACCTTTTCTAAGACTTCCATTAGGGAGTGAATATGGGATAGAAGACAGTTCAAAGCTCAGCACGTCTTTCAGGCAGATTGGATGTGATGAGGAGCCTGACAGACAAGTCCTTGTCGGCATTAACATTAATTAGCTTATTGCTGGATTTGACTCCAACCTTATTTGCACTGCTGAACCTTGGATCTTGATGTTTGGAATTGGCTCCCAGAAACCCTAGTAGGGAAAGGAAATATAAAGCCATGTGGTATATAAAGCTTAAATCACTGAGTGGAAAACTGTGGGTTTAAGTCAATGAATTTACATCGGCAGATGTAAATTGATGACTTCTGTGTAAATAAATTCTTCATTTCTTCAGTTTGTAAGCCATATGATAAAGCCAATGGGATCATTCAACTTTCCTCACTGAGCCTGTGGCAAATAGTTGCTTTAGTATTGTTGCTAGAGTGCTTACAAATTCTGTTGTAAATTTGTTTTGTAAATTAAAAATAGTAAATTCTGTTACAATAGTTTGGATCACTTATATTCTGATAAGCAGCCATTTTTTATTTATATATTTATATTTGAGTTATTGTGTAGGAGAAACATTACCTCTGTTTAAAATTTACTCTCCGATAGTTTTGTAATTTTTCTCCTGATGATCATTAGTTAACATCTTGCTGCAACTCACACAACTGGAACTTGATACTCTCCATTTGCGAAGGCCATCTTGGTAGTTGGAATTACAAATGAGGGAGGTCAGCTCTGTTTCGATCTAATGGTGCACTATTAATTAAGCGGTAAGTTCTGATAATTAATGGTAACCCTGATGTGTTGAATTAAAGACTGTAACTGTTAAGTGGCTGCTAACAAAAGTTGATTGTAGTTTCAATCTTCGTGTTTACATCTTTCATTCTGGGATGACTGATTCATCTACTGTGACAGGAAAAATATACACTTGGTCTGCCAACTTCGGTTCATGAATCCATCTCAGTGCTCTGAACGTCTTCATCAAGGGATTTTATTGGAAACTAGTAAAAATTTTGAAACTGTTACCTTGAGCTTCCAAACATTTACATTGTTTAAGATCATTTTGACCAAATTTAATTTCGCACCCAAAAGGAAATTGCACCAAAAAGTCTAACTGCTTGTGCATCACAAGTATTTTTAGTTTTGATGGCAAGTAAGTTACAGCTAAGTTTGTTTTACAGTGCATTAGCACATGAGGGACCTTAACGCAAAACTTAATGGTGATGACAACGAGGACATTGCAAAACAAAAGCTGTGGTGGGCAGAATAACTGTTACAGCTTAGCACATGCCTTTTAAAACTTTGTACATTTCTTCGCTATCCTCTGACAAACAACTGCGTGAAATCACCAACATCTGCGTTGTCTGTGAATGAAAACCCCAACGACAAATAATCTGCTCCCATCTGGAACCCAACATGGCTCACATACATTATACTGAATTTAAAGTGTGGCATCATAAGAAACCATGAACACATTCAGCCATTCATGTATGAAATTCCAACTAAAAATCTAAATTCCTTTTTTAATTGACATCTACCTCAGCGTTGCCAACTGCTAAAGGTCCATAGTACTTATTGGCTGTCTGCAAACTTCTGAAGTAGAAAGTCAGACTGCCTTGGTACATTTCAAACTCATGAAGTTAACCTGTGTACCTCACGAGTTTGTTTTTGATGAGCTGTCACGATACGGATTGACGATTGGACAGTTTTTACTCCTTGGGTATCATTAGCCAACTTAACAAGTTAAAAGGTAGCTGATTGGCTAATTTTGTACCAATCAGTTTGTTCCAGATTCTCTTTTGGTGTTTTTAGCCTATGTTGAAAGGACATAGCATCTTTTCTTAATGTTTTTATTAAACTTCCCGATCATAAATGGCAGGAGGCAGACCAATTACCTACAGAAAAAGTGTAGCTAAGGAGTTGAACACAGGGCAACCAAGAACATTGGTGGACTTGCTGCAATTTTACATTCCAAAAGCATTATATTTCTTGCCCAGGGCACTCCATTAATTGATACAAGATTAACCCCCACACAAGATTTATACTTCTTCGTTGCATTATCATGCCCCCTCTAGACTTTTACAAGGGGTTATGATTTATAAGCAGGGAAAATGTACGAGTCATGAAATAAACAGAGATTGAGATTTTGATTTTATTTACATTTTTAGACAAACCTGAAGGTTGCTGTTTAGTTCTGCCAAAGGCAGTACATGAGACAGAGACACAAGACACAGTTTTCCCCAATTCAGACCAACCTAGACTGGTTAAGAAAATTTTTATTTTTTCTTGAAGTTTACAAAATACTTGCCAAAAGGACATGATTTATTTAGGGCTGTAATTATGGCAAGATCCTCCATAAACTGAACAAACCTTGAGCGAGTAAATTATAGTTAAAATGAAGGTAATGCAAATTAAAGAGAAAGGCTTCACCAAAACATTGTTATTTTTATAATGATGTAGATAACTTATAAGGCTTCCAAACAAACTTTGAAACATTATTTTTACAAGTATCTGTCACTATCTGACACCTGTCAATTAGATAGCACATGAAAAAAAGGTGCATGTACACTTTCGCAAAAAAAGTTCATCAACTCTCACAACAATTTTTTCTTCAAAAACAGTCAGTGATCTTAGGTAAAGTATTATTCACTTCCATCAACAACTAATGTACAAAGATTTACCTCTGTTCAGTCAGTAAATGGCAAAAAAAATAAGCGCAAGTAAATTCAAATGTATGTTTTGAAGTTGTGAGAGTTTGCTCGTTTGGTTGCTTCAATGGCGTGTGTAAATTTGGTCTTTCTTCCACCCAAAAACTAAATTCAACTGAGACACTTACTAGACACAACAAGAGTCAATACGACCTTTTCTCAGTGAGTTTCTTTGGTTTCTGCTCTGCAATTTACAGCACAAATGTCCAAATTAAACAGACTTGGAAAGACTTATTGAATACGTATTAGTAGCAGAGCTGAAAACGTCACTTACCCATTCACAACAAACAAGAGAGAATTCACATAATACATAGATTTAGCCAAGCCTAAAAGCAGAGCTTCAGTAAGTTTATTTTCTAGCCCTTCACTCTATTAAAAGTCCTCTGCAGTCGTTGTCAAAGAGGTTATTGGAGGGGACCAGCTAGGGCGGAGTATGGAGGAAAATTGACGGGGTCTGAACTGAGGGATTATGTTTTCACAACTTACAAAGAGACCAGCATATGTGCTAGTCAGCGGTATTTTCAAGCAGTTAAAGACCTTTGTTGATATTCCTGATGTTTTGAACAGATTTTTGAGGATAGGGAATGTTTTCTTCAGATGTAGTGTATGATGTTAGTATCAGTTGAAATGGTATTCTATTGAAATGAATTAAAATATTGGTTTGCGAAAACGAGCCAAAATTAAAGAAACGACCATAAACGACTTCGAGTTAAGATATCAGCGTTCAATTGTAGGATATTTACCTGAAAACAGTGAGTCGGTGAAACAGAGCTCCAGAATTGTATGGGCTTTTCTTATATCTTCTCTTGGTTTCGCTTGGTATGACTGTTCGCTCTGCCAATTTTTTTCCTATGTGTCAACCATCTCTAGAAAGCATTAAGAATTGGAAAGAAATTCAGGTCAAACCTGTAATTACTTAACTTCTCTTTTACCTATTTGCGTTTCACTATTGTGGTCTGGCTGGAATACGCGGCATCATTTTCAGATTTTTCTGTTACTTCATGGGGTAACCTCTGCCGCAACTGCAACGCTCTATGATTCTGGTAACTCTAGCTACTGAAATACGAAATTTGACAATCATCTGTTTCTTTCTTTGCAAGAGTTTTACTTAAACAAGGACAAGCTCAAACTAAAATATCATATTTCAAACTTGATGATGAAGAGAGACTTAGAAACCAAGAAAAAATGCATGGATTTCTTCTATAATGTACAGAAATTAATTCCAAACATCTGTCAAGTTTCCTCTTCAGTTTTAAGGTTTGGTTAATGTTGTTATTGGCCCCATTAAACAGGTTGAAAAGTTTAGTCTCCCATGTTCGCGAGAAAACTAATTTCCTGGAATGAGGAGTTGTGGAAACATTTTCGCATGAAACACAAAAATAAATTTTATTGATGCGAGAAAAGTATTCATTTGACCCTCTCACTATCACAGCATTTTCACATCAAAGTTTTTTAGAAGACATGGGTATTGGTTAAAATTAGCCAATTCAAGTTATACATCGGATGCAGTTTTGTCTTCCATTTTTCCACTAACGTTGCAACAGGCTGCCAAAACTTTGCAATGGATTTCAACCCAACCTCTTTCCACAAATTGTAAATTCCACTGTGAAATAATTATGTTGGGAAATAGAAAATTTGTGGAATAAACGTCATGTCTTCAAGATGATCATCTTGCGAAATAAGAGTTATGACGAAATTATAAGAGTTTGTAAGGAATATTTACGATCTCTCAGAGGAAGTAAAAATACAGTCAAATTCTGAATAAAAACTACCTCACTTTACTGTCACAGTGCGTCACTCGTTTGACCACTGTTGCAACGAGGCCATTTTAGTAAGAGCCCAATTTTTTTTCATGTCGTTTCTCGCTCTCTTTCACGTTTTTCCGAGTCGCTCGCGCTTATTACTTCTTCTCTCCTTTTCCTGCCTATTTTCACTTAAATCCTCTCACCTCAAACTTAAATTAAAATGATTTCTACCGGTAGACATAGCATAGACTATAAGTGTTGTTGCTTGCAAGTACACTGATTATTATCGCAAAATACCAATAATCAGTGGTGTCTGTAACTACAACTTAATCAGTATGCTTTTCCGCTCAAAACGCGGGTTGCAAAGTCTTTGCTTGCGCGGCGTGATGTCTACTAGCCTACATGAAGCCCTCGTGTAATTCCTCGTGTGGTGCACCGAAGATCGGCATTCGAGTATGCTCACTTCATCATTTTTTACTTGAATAAAGGGGGTAAGTTTCCAATGAAACTGTTGTTGCGTCGGTGGGAGAGTATAACAGGGTAATTTCGTATTATCAACTAAAGTGATAATGTAAATTGGCCACCGTAAAGAGTTAAAAAGCTGACGTCTCGAACGTTAGCCCTTCGTCAGAGCAAAAATGGCAACGAAGGTGTGGATGACTCTGCGACACACGTGGACGTTACCGTGCCCGTGAGCAGAGATAGGAAAATACGGACCGCGCCAAGAACCCATCAGATTGCAGGATTCGTTACCGTGCCCTCTGAAAAAGAATAAATACACCTTATTCTAGGTGCGAAATAATTTTTCCAAGCCCTGAATAGGCGAGGAAAAATACGAGCAACGAGCAAGATTTCCGCTCGTGCTATGTGTTAAACCATCGAATAAGAGCTATATTATTCCACTATTATTTTCAGTTTATAGTATTTTAACTTTTAGTGTGCGGATTACATCCTACGGCCTTATCTGTGCATCGTATCCATTACACAAGATATGCGCGAAAGATGGAAACAACCAGAACTGAAGCATTCAGGTGTCCTTTGTGTTCTTTTGTGCTTAAAAGTTCGCTTCTTTAAAAGTCAAATTTAAAAAACGAAAAAAAAAACAATTTTTGGATCGTTCAGTGCTGCCAATATGTTGCGACGTATTTTTGCCTTGTTCTAAAATGTAATACTGTGGCATATTTTGCCTTTCTCATTGCTTTATTTGGTAAAATGACACAGCAGTGGAATGATAAAGCTCACCAATGTTCTGATTCATATGAAGTATCACCAATTACTTATTCAATTGCTTAATGTATTTGTATTCATTCTTAGACCCGCCCACAATTCAAAATGTCACTACGTCATCTAAGAAGTCTTGGATTGGCCAGAAAGTGACTTTGAAGTGTCTTTCTGATGGTGTTCCTGCACCAACACTCTCTTGGTACAAACCTAAAGGAAGTGGAATAAACAATGTCACAGCCAGAGAAAACGAAGTACAAGTGCAACTCAGGGGTGATCAAGATTTTGGTCATTACAAGTGCACTGCTGCCAATGTACTTCCTCCATCTGATGAGGAGTTAATAAAGATAAATCAGATAAGTAAGTAAAAAAGATCAGTGTATTGTGATAAGAAGAAAACTATATATAAAGTCAGCATTTTCTTTTGCCATTGCTCATTATCACTGTTTCAGGTGCAGTAGAAGTAAAAACCACATTTTCTTACAAAGCACTCGACAGAGTAACTTATTCACTTTGTACATCTCATTCGATGATTTAACATTTAATACGTGCGGATATTTTGCAAGGCTTATATGCGTGTGGAAAAAAATAAGCTTATGTTAAATCATCGAGAAAGGGATTTATCATTCTACTATTCTTTCATTTACTAACAATTTGGCCGCCCAGATTTCGACATACATCCTGCGGCCTTATCTGGGCGCTCCGTTCGCATTTTTCTCCTCTTTAGCTGCGTTTGACCTACACATGTTTTTCGCGTTCGTTACCCAATGAGGTATAACGGCGTAATGGTGGAATTATGCCAGATATTGTTAAGGTTTAAAGTAAACTGTCGACACCTTGCCCTTTGGTAGCATTAAACACGTCACAAAGAGCATTGAACTTCAGGCAGATTGATGACATCTTCTCATGCGGGTATCTATAGGAAACTTCCTCAACCATGGACTATAAATTTTTTAACTTTTTATGAGTCTCTTGGCTGAATGTATCCGGTAGCTACATTTATATTCATTAATTACATGTTAACGCACTCAGCGAATGAACTATGGGGATTTACCTGCACGAGTTCACGGACTATTACACCACGATAATGACGTCAAGGAGGTTGTTTCGTCACAACCCAGTATCACGTGGTAAAATCATCTAATCAGAAAATCGGAATTCGAACAGTGTATGAAACTTGAATAATAAACTGTGATAAGACATGGACTTGCATTCATCCTTAGTGTTGTGACAAAACTCAAAATAATCTCTTTTCTTATGGTACTATGTAGAGAAACCAGGGAAAGCATCCATCAAATCAGAATCAGTCATTCAAGCAACTTTTATAACAATACAATGGACTGCACCAGCTGATGATGGAGGAAGTCCGATTACAGGATTCCAAATGATCTTACAAAAGGATGGAACTGAGATAAAAAAGGTTAATATCACCGATCCTGGGACGACAAGTTATTCGTTTCCTGGTTTGGAGAAAAATACCAACTACACAGTGAAACTGTTTTCCAGAAATTTTGTATTCGAGGGAGATCCTACTCTATGGAACTTTAAGACCAAGTTTGAAGGTGAGGAATCAAAAGTGATATCGTGACTGACCACTTTCCACCAATCATTTTTTCGCCAACTTAGATTTGTTGTGAGTAACCCAGTTTTAACAACGTTATCTGCTTGCTGCATTATAAGATTTTGGATTTTCAGCGTTTGTCCCCTTCTTAGTGGCCAGTTTCCTTTCCCTTTGTGATAATTGTTTTAGAGACACCTACGTTTGAAGAAGCATAATAATAAACAATGAAAAACCAATGATCGTAGGTGAGAACAATAGACAACCTACACGGTTACGTTCCGTAAATGTTACCTGATTTATCAAGTATTGTTTGCCTTGTCGTTTTTTTTTTTTTTTAATTTTCTGATGTTCACGTTTCAAAATCTGCAATATGAATCAGCCACAACAACAGCCGCTACATAGGGACCTTAGGTTATTTGGATAAATTTTTCCTAAACTCTTACTGACCATATTCAGAACGCCCAATAACCAACTATCCCTTTAGACAGTGAGAAGATTTCCACACATCGTTTGACCAAAGAATTGAAGTTTGAAGAAATGGGCCTTTCATGAATGTCGCTTCTAATATGCAAATAATATGGGGAAATCTTGTCAAACAGTGTGTGGACGGCCTCGAAGAATCCTTCGTATATTTTCTTTAAGATGAGAAATAGCTTATTTTCATTTTGCAGGGATTAGCCCAAACCAAAACAATTAAGGTTGCCGTTTTCAAGAAAGTTTCTTTCGAATCTCATCCGGCACATATCTCACTCAACAAAAAAAATATTTTGGTAACAGTTGTGAACTTAGTAACTGAATTGAGCAGCCGTAATATGGCAATGAAGTTCGTCGCACCTGTTATCGCTTAAGCGCTTCTTGTCATTGCCTCCTCGGTTGGCAAACCCCCTGAAGAAAAAAGCTTGTTGTCTCGGCGGAAAAACCCGTGCCAGCTTATATTTGCAGAAGAAGAATCGTAGGCCTGTACTTAATCATGCGCGATGTCAAACTTTTCAAAAGCGGAAAGTAGTTGCACACGAACTGAGATCCTTTCTGTAACTACGTGACACAAACGAACGGTGAATTGTGACGTCATCTATGCATCGGTCCTTCATTTGATCACGTGTAAATAGCAATTACAATGCCAGTAGAAGTCAGTGTATCGTTCAAATTCGCCTCATAAATGCAGTATTTGTTTTAGGCAATAACCGACCATCATTTTAGACTTCTCATTATCACTTTTTGTCCTTTCAAATTATTTTGAATTTATCTCAATACTTAACTTAATTTGGTTGCCATACACTTTCGTCTCAGAAATATCCCAAACAAATCCTCGACCAGTTTACAGATTAGTTAATCATTGATAATGGTTCTGACCAGGTTTGTAACAAGAAATTATATAATTATTAGAAATTTCACGCTGTTCGTGTCGTTGACATCAATCTAGGAGCCCCAGATGTGGTCGAAATAGACGAACTGCCAGATAAAACAACAGACGATACAATTACCTTAAAGTGGAAGGAGCCAGAAAGTTATGGAAAAGTTATAACCATGTACACAGTGTACCAAAGAGTAGTGACTGATTGGAAAGTGGGACAGTGGACAGAAATAAGGAGAATCAGAGATGTTTCTGTGAGAGAATTGAAAATAGCGTTGGAGAGAGGAAAGGTGTATCAGTTTGCCATTACTGCAACTAATGAGTTTGGTGAAAGCCTGAAACAAGAGAGAGCAAACATCCAGCAAGTCAAGGCAGAAGGAAGTATGTTCAAATGAATCTTATTTTCCCCTTTCAACGGTTTATCCTTTTCTTTACTTAGTTTTCAAGGACTCTCCGTGTCATGAACATCGAGGTTTTTACGGGTGAATTCTTCACTTGCAAGAACCTTAATCAGTGAGAAAAATTTTTACTTACGTCGCAGTTGATATTTGTATGCCAACTGCAAATATATGGCATATCTATTAACTGAGATTTTAATCATTGGCTGGCACACACAGATATTTTAAGTCTGACACATGCTGATCTGAATCTGGTAAGAGAAGTCTGAAACACTTTCGTTTAATCTTCTTACATTTAAATTAACTGCTTTTTTCTTTCCTTTGCCGCCATCACTTAGCTGATGCATCTCTCCCACATCAAAAAATTTCACTCTCCCACACTGAATTCCGAGAACTCTTCTGTCATTTTCACTACCACGGCACTTTATTCTTCATACCGATGAAAGCGACTTAGAACTTAGCCTCCTCTTCACACCGTAATTTCGACACCAGATTACTGAACCGCGAGAACTCAGAATTGTCGGCGATTTCGCTTTAGCTTAATTAAGGATGTATAGTCACGCTGCCTCACGCTGCGAAGAGAGAAGTTGTCTATCTTTTCACAGGTTTTCTTCGGTGAGGCTACAGAGCGTGACGCAAACTTCCTGTCTCAAGGTCATGAAGGGTATTCATTTTCTTAGGTCTTATGTCTTAGTTTTCGGGGATCTTCGTTTTTTTAGCTACAAACGTAGTTCACTTTCTCTTTGTTGATAATCTCTTTTCAGTCTCTTTTCTGGAGCTCTTTTTATTCTCTTCTCACATTGGTCTTCGCTAGATATTCGCCGTTCTACTTTACCCTTTTCTTGTTCTCTATCGTCTTCCCCTCGCTGTGTTCTGCCTATTCTTCGCCCTATCAAACCCCATTTCGTGTTTTTCTGGACTCGCTCCACGCCTTTTAAGTTCTTTCTCTCTTTGGTCTCTCTCTCTCTCTCTTTAGATCTATAAGTAGATATTTGCTACTTTTTTTCTACTTACGATTTTAATTCATTTAATTAAATAAGGAAGCGATTTAAAAGGCATTGTCTTAAACAATAATACTTTATTCTTCGACTGTTGTAGACAGAAACTAAATTCTAAGGAATATAACATTTCTATAACCTTTTGTATATCACCTACGTAGCAACTACCTACTCTGCGGTACGCGGACCTAAATTTTAAATTAAAATCCGGCTTTTGGCCAAATCCGAAGGTCATTTAGGTAAGGATAAATGCCTTCAAACCCCCCATCAATCTGAAATATTTTTTTGGTTCTTTGCCAAGCTTAGTTTGAATAATATCCTGTTGTTAGCTCACAATTAAACTCGACCTTAATCTGAACAGGATTTTTTGAAGGTGGCCATACCTTTTTTGCCTCTCTCTCTCTCTCTTTGATCTCTCTCTCTTTGGTCTCTCTCTTTGGTCTCTCTCTCTTTGGTCTCTCTCTTTGGTCTCTCTCTTTGGTCTCTCTCTCTTTGGTCTCTCTCTCTTTGGTCTCTCTCTCTTTGGTCTCTCTCTCTTTGGTCTCTCTCTTTGGCTCTCTCTCTTTGGTCTCTCTCTCTTTGGTCTCTCTCTCTTTGGTCTCTCTCTTTGGTCTCTCTCTTTGGTCTCTCTTTGGTCTCTCTCTCTTTGGTCTCTCTTTGGTCTCTCTCTTTGGTCTCTCTTTGGTCTCTCTCTTTGGTCTCTCTTTGGTCTCTCTTTGGTCTCTCTTTGGTCTCTCTTTGGTCTCTCTCTTTGGTCTCTCTTTGGTCTCTCTTTGGTCTCTCTCTTTGGTCTCTCTTTGGTCTCTCTCTTTGGTCTCTCTCTTTGGTCTCTCTTTGGTCTCTCTTTGGTCTCTCTCTCTTTGGTCTCTCTCTTTGGTCTCTCTCTCTTTGGTCTCTCTCTTTGGTCTCTCTCTCTTTGGTCTCTCTCTTTGGTCTCTCTCTTTGGTCTCTCTCTTTGGTCTCTCTCTTTTGTCTCTCTTTGGTCTCTCTCTTTGGTCTCTCTCTTTGGTCTCTCTTTGGTCTCTCTTTGGTCTCTCTTTGGTCTCTCTCTTTGGTCTCTCTTTGGTCTCTCTCTTTGGTCTCTCTTTGGTCTCTCTCTCTTTGGTCTCTCTCTCTTTGGTCTCTCTTTGGTCTCTCTCTTTTGTCTCTCTCTTTGGTCTCTCTTTGGTCTCTCTCTTTTGTCTCTCTCTTTGTTCTCTCTCTTTGGTCTCTCTTTGGTCTCTCTCTTTGGTCTCTCTCTTTGGTCTCTCTCTTTGGTCTCTCTCTTTGGCCTCTCTCTCTTTGGTCTCTCTCTCTTTGGTCTCTCTTTGGTCTCTCTCTTTGGTCTCTCTCTTTGGTCTCTCTCTCTTTGGTCTCTCTTTGGTCTCTCTCTCTTTGGTCTCTCTTTGGTCTCTCTCTCTTTGGTCTCTCTTTGGTCTCTCTCTTTGGTCTCTCTTTGGTCTCTCTCTCTTTGGTCTCTCTTTGGTCTCTCTCTTTGGTCTCTCTTTGGTCTCTCTCTTTGGTCTCTCTTTGGTCTCTCTCTTTGGTCTCTCTTTGGTCTCTCTCTTTTGTCTCTCTCTTTGGTCTCTCTCTTTGGTCTCTCTCTCTTTGGTCTCTCTTTGGTCTCTCTCTTTGGTCTCTCTCTTTGGTCTCTCTCTTTGGTCTCTCTCTTTGGTGCCTCTCTCTCTTTGGTCTCTCTCTCTTTGGTCTCTCTTTGGTCTCTCTCTTTGGTCTCTCTCTTTGGTCTCTCTCTCTCTCTTTGGTCTCTCTCTCTCTCTTTGTCTCTCTCTCTTTGGTCTCTCTCTCTTTGTCTCTCTCTCTCTTTGGTCTCTCTCTTTGGTCTCTCTCTCTCTTTGGTCTCTCTCTTTGGTCTCTCTTTGGTCTCTCTCTTTGGTCTCTCTTTGGTCTCTCTCTTTGGTCTCTCTTTGGTCTCTCTTTGGTCTCTCTCTTTGGTCTCTCTTTGGTCTCTCTTTGGTCTCTCTTTGGTCTCTCTTTGGTCTCTCTCTCTTTGGTCTCTCTTTGGTCTCTCTCTTGGTCTCTCTTTGGTCTCTCTTTGGTCTCTCTTTGGTCTCTCTCTTTGGTCTCTCTTTGGTCTCTCTCTTTGGTCTCTCTTTGGTCTCTCTCTCTTTGGTCTCTCTCTTTGGTCTCTCTTTGGTCTCTCTCTTTGGTCTCTCTCTCTTTGGTCTCTCTCTTTGGTCTCTCTCTTTGGTCTCTCTCTTTGGTCTCTCTCTCTTTGGTCTCTCTCTCTTTGGTCTCTCTCTTTGGTCTCTCTTTGGTCTCCTTGGTCTCTCTTTGGTCTCTCTTTGGTCTCTCTCTTTGGTCTCTCTTTGGTCTCTCTCTCTTTGGTCTCTCTCTTTGGTCTCTCTTTGGTCTCTCTCTTATGTCTCTCTCTTTGGTCTCTTTCTTTGGTCTCTCTTTGGTCTCTCTCTTTGGTCTCTCTCTCTTTGGTCTCTCTTTGGTCTCTCTCTTTGGTCTCTCTCTTTGGTCTCTCTCTTTGGTCTCTCTTTGGCCTCTCTCTCTTTGGTCTCTCTCTTTGGTCTCTCTCTCTCTTTGGTCTCTCTCTTTGGTCTCTCTCTCTTTGGTCTCTCTCTTTGGTCTCTCTCTCTTTGGTCTCTCTTTGGTCTCTCTCTTTGGTCTCTCTTTGGTCTCTCTCTCTTTGGTCTCTCTTTGGTCTCTCTCTTTTGGTCTCTCTTTGGTCTCTCTCTTTGGTCTCTCTTTGGTCTCTCTCTCTCTTGGTCTCTCTCTCTTTGGCTCTCTCTTTGGTCTCTCTCTTTGGTCTCTCTCTTTGGTCTCTCTCTCTTTGGTCTCTCTCTTTGGTCTCTCTCTTTGGTCTCTCTCTTTGGTCTCTCTCTCTTTGGTCTCTCTTTGGTCTCTCTCTTTGGTCTCTCTCTTTGGTCTCTCTCTTTGGTCTCTCTCTTTGGTCTCTCTCTTTGGTCTCTCTCTTTGGTATCTCTTTGGTCTCTCTCTTATGTCTCTCTCTTTGGTCTCTTTCTTTGGTCTCTCTTTGGTCTCTCTCTTTGGTCTCTCTCTCTTTGGTCTCTCTCTTTGGTCTCTCTCTTTTGTCTCTCTCTCTTTGGTGTCTCTCTTTTGTCTCTCTCTCTTTGGTCTCTCTCTTTGGTCTCTCTCTCTTTGGTCTCTCTCTTTGGTCTCTCTCTCTTTGGTCTCTCTTTGGTCTCTCTCTTTGTTCTCTCTCTCTTTGGTCTCTCTCTCTTTGGTCTCTCTCTCTTTGGTCTCTCTCTCTTTGGTCTCTCTCTCTTTGGTCTCTCTCTCTTTGGTCTCTCTCTCTTTGGTCTCTCTCTCTTTGGTCTCTCTTTGGTCTCTCTCTTTGGTCTCTCTCTTTGGTCTCTCTTTGGTCTCTCTCTAATGTCTCTCTTTTTGGTCTCTTTCTTTGGTCTCTCTCTCTTTCTTTGGTCTCTCTCTCTTTCTTTGGTCTCTCTCTCTTTCTTTGGTCTCTCTCTCTTTCTTTGGTCTCTCTCTCTTACTTTGGTCTCTCTCTCTTTCTTTGGTCTCTCTCTCTCTTTCTTTGGTCTCTCTCTCTCTTTCTTTGGTCTCTCTCTCTCTCTCTCTCTCTCTCTCTCTCTCTCTCTCTCTCTCTCTCTCTCTCTCTCTCTCTCTCTCTCTCTCTCTCTCTCTCTCTCTCTCTATTTCTTCCGTTTGGAAAAGGGAAAAGCTTTAGCTATGAGTATCGTTGCTTTGCAAGTTTATTAGAAAATTGCAAAATACCAAGAATCACTTTTCAACAACAACCTCACCAGTATGATTTCCCGCTCAAAACACGGGTTGCAAATTCTTTCCTTGCGCTGCTTCACATCCTCTAACCAACATGAAACCTTTCTAGGTTTCTACAAAAATCTTTGAAGTTGAATCTTAAGTAATAATAAGAAGAGAAGAACTGAAAAAATAACGGGTAGAAAGTGACTATTCTTTTCAATTTACTACAACTATCAGAGGAGTTTGACACAAAAGAGAAAACTGTGGAGTGAACAATCATAACTGGCGACATAAAGAGAAGATATAAGAGAAGCCCGTACGTTTCTGGCGTATTGTTTCACTGACTCACTCTGCTCATTTCTACCCATCTATTAGTCGACCGGTAATCTCTTAACTGGAAGTTGCTTATGGTCGTTTCTTTCAACTCTGACTCATTTTCCCACACCAAAGTTCACAATAACGCTCAATGAAATATCATTTCAGCCGACGCTGACATCATACACGACATCTGAAGAAGAAAACATTATTTATTCTGAACCTGTGCGCACTCTGATTGCCTTGCATCATGGTCGCAAAAGTAAAACTGAAGCCCCGTTTAAACGGTCATGACAGTTGACGATAGTGTCAACTATCAAGCGCGTTTGAACACGAACTGTCATGTTCTATCATAACATTTCATCAAAAATCATGTAGTTTGGACATGTCCAAATTCGACATGATAGGTAATGATAGTTTTTGCTGTTTGAACGAGAGAAGGAGTGAATGATACTTGTTAGGTCAGCAGTTTTGCCCAAAAACGGGCTCAAACCGAAATGGCAACGGTAAAATGACTAAAATAGTCGTCGAAATTTCCCAGAATGTCTCGTAGTTAATTCCTATCATTTCCTGGTAGGCTTCAGTATCTTTAACTTGTAACTTCTTGACTAAAATTTCAAGTGCCGCTGAAATTGCTGACCTCAGCGCGCACCGTATTTGTGTACAATTACGCGATCTCATTGCGTGATATTTTGTCAACTATCATTGACTGTCATGAACCGTTTGAACACAAACTTGATAGTCAATGATGTGAATGAAAGTTGCAACTGTCATTCAGTTGTCTATCATTAACGTTCATGATCGTTTGAACGGGGCTTAAGTCATTTGCATCTTGTCGCAGTCGAGTGAACATCTTTTATGGAAGAGAGAGTAGCGAGAAATGTATATAATGGGAATTCACTGTTTGTTGCTGCTCCTTCGTTAAAAAGGAAAGTTAAAAAGAGTTGAAGGGCCTGTGGGCTCTCGTAATTCTTCCGCGACCAAATTCGTTCTTAGGAGGCAACTAAAGAGATTCAGAAAGAATCGAAACAGCAGTCTTGCTTAAGGATCTTCACGAACGGCAGCAATTACACTCCCAGCTGATGGCTGTGTGAATGATATCGAATTCAGAAATTGCATTCCTAGACGGGACTTATTTATAATGACAGGGAATCGACCCTTGACATGCAAATGTATTACAAAGAGATAGAGTCATCCACCAGGCGTAAATAGGGGGCTGGAATTTGAGGTCGCTACGTTGATTACTGTATCAGTGCTATTTTTTCCACCAGAGAGGAACTTGGTCATTTTTTAATTGCGGTCAGTTACTTTCATTGAGCTCTAAAATAGATCTAGGAAATTTCTGACACCTCTTTGGCTTCTCTAGAAGTCAAAGTTAACAGATAACAGTCTATGCATCAGTGGGTGTGCTACAGACCCACAATGTCTCATAGTTTTGTCATCTTCAAATCTATCACATGTCAAGAATACCATTCCTTATTCTCAGTGTCTTAGGCTTCATCGCCTATATACTGACAGTTCTGATTTTCCAAGATGTCAGAGGTAATACGCCAGTTCTTCTCCTACCCTTGTCATTCAAGGGAGTCTTAAACAACTGATCGAAAGTCGGTATTCTACAAACGTCACAGAAGGAAAAAAATGATCCATTTTACCGGCAAGACCTGTCCTTCTAACAAATATAAATTTCTTCAAAATGATCCAAAAACTGGTATATTATTTTCGCATAAAACATAGACAACTATTTGGTCATAAATACTTTCTAAATAAATGATCAACCCGAGGCTTTCACCTTGCGTGCATGACACAAAATTTTTCCTTTCATAAATAATGTTGAGACCAATGTCATCTATGTCATAACTTGCGGTTATTTCAAAAAGTTATACTTCAGCGAAAAAGGAAGACGACTAGGGGAATGATTCTGACAACACCATCGTGACGCAGAACACAAGAAAAACAATATCTCTCAAATTGGCCTCACATTCGTACATTTTAGGTCAGTGTTCTTTGTAAGTAAAGGCTGTTTTTTACACAGGAGGTCAAATGATAATTCTTGTGCAAACAAACAAACGTTCATTTTCAATCATATTTTGTTTTTTTCCCAGTTCAAACAGTAAGCACAGAAGTTTACCTGACAGCGATAATACAGGAGAACTGTAGCAGACGTTCGGAAGTTGCTGCGAAATTTCCAGAAATGGTTAGATAATCTATTTGATCCATATACTGGAGTTTAAGGAATACTGCCATGAGATTTATCATGAAAAGTGAATCTTATTCAATCTGTTCTTGAATGAAATCTTAATATTTCTGTTAAAAAAATAAGATATTCTGAACGATCTTCAATACGTGACAAGTATTTCAATATACTTTTTTTCTTGATATGTCCTTTTAGGCTTGTCAAATTGCCTTTAGGTTTGGCTGCTCATCCGCCAACACTGTGAACACCAGGTAAGGTACAGTTTGTTGTTCTACACTGAAACAACAAATGCAAACTCAAATTTGCCTTCTTGTAGGAGAGAGGAGCTTTATTTCTATGTGTTGTATTTTAGCTGTAAAAGTGTTTTTTCTGCTCTAGCAAATCTTATTTAATACAAGATAATTTATGTTTGAAGTATATTGTCTTTAATCTATAGTAATCAGAGAATGACATGAATTAATTTTATTTACCTTGGTTTATTACACTGGTTAAATCTCAATATATTTTAACTCTTAAAAGTCACCAAAGTACGAATGTGTGCGATGATACTCTTTTCTCACCCCTCCCCCCACCCCCTTATCTAGGTGTGGCAGTGTTGTTCTTGACTTTATGATGAGGTTCAATCAAAATGTAGTCGTCAGAAATGTTTTGATTGTCCTGTCGGATGCTGCAAGGCAAGACAAATTCGGAGGTTTTAAAGTCAATCCAGACTCAATTAAACAAGTTTTAATACCCACAGAGGGCTCGGAAAGCACAACAAAAGGTAAATTTTACAAAGACATTGTTCAATGGTTACATGTATTCTTCCGAAGATGGACTGTTTATAATTGTATTCCGTATCTATTTAATTAAACAACTTATTCTGTGACTGATACACTTCAAAGTTTTTGCTTTTAACGTTGTTGTTTTATTTAATTAAACAAAATCTTTTAAAAATTATTTTAGAGAGAGTAGCACCTTTCTCTTCTTTTGTACCAAGCCAATTAGAGTTAACGTTTTTCCGTCATGAACCTAAGCTATGTAGTGAGAGCAGTGTATCGACCAGGATCAGTGTAAATGTTTTTTGAATGTTATTTCATCAAGCTTTGTAAAATGAATCATTTTAGGTCCTGAAGAATGTAACTGCCCATCTAACAACGTCTTGTTGGCCATAATTGGGGTTCTTGCCTTCACAGTCATTCTTCTAATTATTTACATAATCTGGCTACATAAGAAAGGTAGGTAAAAAATTCATAATCTATGTCAGAGGGTTTGGCTGCAAGACTCTTTTTTACGCAAAAGCAAATTTTTACGCACGTTTACATCATTGGTATTTTTTCCTTTCGTTCTTTTTCAGGCGCTGTAGGGAAACAGAGGTAATAATTTTCTGCTAGTTGGATTGTGTCGATGTAATGTGCCCGATATGGTTTCATCTTAACACAAAACTCCAATAAAAACTGATGAAATTCTTAGCGTTTTATAATTATTTCTATGCTTTCTCAACTGTAGGACTTATGAAGATGAGAGACGTGTTTGCGACGTAAGTTACAGCTAAGACATTGAGGTCATGTTAGTGTGACCAGAAATTATGTAATCTTACTTTACCTCTACTTTCTATGAGAAAATAAACGCTTGCAGCAAATAGGAAGGAAAAAATTTGTAGTTCTACATAAAAAAAAAAGCATATTGCATCAGTGGCGGATGCAATGAAATAAAAGAGGAAGTTAGGCTCGATAAGGTCTTTGTCCTGTGATCATGTCCTTTACCAAGCCACTCCATGGATTTTCCTTCGATTGTCCCCGGTTCAACCGCTTGGTTTCACTTCGTAGATCGCTAACTGGTCTGCACCCGGTTGATATTTGCTCTCTAAATAATAGATTTCGCGCATTTTGGCCTTCGTATTTTCTTGATGCCTTATTTTCTAAACGTGAGTTTAGGAGCTGAGTACAGCAAGAGTTTTTTGGTGCGTTTATTTGTCAAAATATTGGACTACCAATCGACAATCTTCACGTTGCAGTTTGTAGCTTCGGCGAATATGGTATGAACCTCGATCACTCTATTGGACATGATAGTTTCAAAAGCAGAGAACAAAATGTTATTGATAATAAGGACAAGGGATTATAAACTATTTATAATCTCTTGTCATGGAAGAATATAAACGTTTGTCTGATTAAAATGGATAAACTGATTTTTATTACCATGTTTTATTACCATGTGTGACTTTCTACTGGAATTAATAACAGATTTGGGAATGAATACCTTAACGGTATGTTGATTTAATAGAACGAAACAGGATTAGAAGATATCGAACCAAGTCTGCCCGATTCAAGAAAACTCACTCAGCCTCCTGCGGAATACATGGATCTCATAGAAGTCAACAAAGATAATCGAAAAGCACAAAGTACCGCTCCAGGTGCTGATTACATGCCTCTTCATACGTTAACACGCTGCTGGGAAGTTCCAAGACATCACGTGACCATAGAAAAAATCATTGGTAAAGGTGCTTTTGGTCAGGTTGCCAAGGGAACGGCAGTAGGACTTCGAGGGAGTCCTAAAACAACCACAGTGGCTATTAAGATGCTTAAAAGTGAGCTCTTCTACTGTAAATTGAATGACAGTCTAAGCCTACAGGCATTCAGGAAATATTACCGGATTACTGTTACAGTAGTTATTTAGCTATTTGCCATTTCATAAGTTATGTTGTTATTCCGACATTTCGCATATTTATTCCCGTTAACCAAATTTTACTCCTTGTTTTTAATGCTCCAGCAAACGCTGCTGAATCGGACAAGAGAGATCTGATGAAAGAACTTGACACAATGAAGCAGCTAAAACCACATCCTTATGTCATTAAACTTCTGGGATGTGTTACGGAATCTGGTATGCTTTAGTTATGCGGGTCTAATTTTGCTGTACAAATTTTTCTTATGATTTACTCTGTGACGCTTTTTCGTCATTGTTAATTTCTCTCAATGGAAGAGTGGCCGCTTCACAATTGAGCACAACAAACAACCATCGCTTAAGGTAATTTTATCTTGTTTTAGCCAACACAGACGTTCCTGGATTTACTAATAGACTAAGACCGAATATTTACCACTGAACGGATCATTCTGTTGTATAAGCAGAAATGCTTTTTGTGTGGGAATAATTGGTCTGTAACTTCTTATGAGACCATCACATAGACCGTTTCTTGTTATCATGCGATTTCCTCAAAAGTGTTGACCACGACTGGGCTATTCATCTATTTCAATTACTGCTTTTTTTTTTAAAGAAAGTAACATATCAATTAAATTGTTTAATTTCTTCAGAACAGCTGTTGGTTTTGATTGAATATGTACCTTTTGGGGATCTGCTGGGTTACCTGAGAAAGAGCCGTGGATTAAAAGACACTTACTACAAAGACCCAGATATCAAACCACAAACAAATCTGACGTCACAGCAGCTGATAAAGTTTGCTTGGCAAATTGCTGATGGAATGAGTTACTTGTCCTCAAAATCTGTAAGTTAATTAAAAACACAAAGGACAAACAATTCTGAAACCTTCTTGTGGGGTCTATCGTCATGTTAAGCTCTCTCTTGCATAGAATATTATGTCTTCACAAGATCACGCCCGGGAGATGCAAACGTGTGATAGATAGATAGATAGATAGATAGATAGATAGATAGATAGATAGATAGATAGATAGATAGATAGATAGATAGATAGATAGATAGATAGATAGATAGAAAGAAAGAAAGAAAGAAAGATAGATTAGATAGATAAGATAGATTAGATAGATTAGATAGATTAGATAGATAGATTAGATATATAGATAGATAGATATAGATAGATAGATAGGTAGATAGATTAGGTAGAAAGATTAGACGGATAGATAGATAGAGATAGATAGATAGATTAGATAGATAGATTAGATAGATAGATTAGATAGATAGATTGATAGATTGATAGATTAGATAGATAGATAGATAGATAGATAGATAGATAGATAGATAGATAGATTAGATAGATAGAGTAGATAGATAGACGAGATTTATTACATCGTTCGATACGTCTATCCTTCAGTGAGTTCAGGTTAAACAATTAAAGGTTGTAGAGATATGATAGGTCAAGTGAAATTATAGATAGGGCGCGTTTTTTAACATGTTCTATGTCGTTGCTTAAATAATCAGGCAGTGCATGATGGTAAAGAGGAGCACAATATTCGAATACAGGTGAATTCAATGTGAGAATTGCGATATTTGTGCATCGTTGCAAGTGTACCTCATCGAAATAAAATATCTGGATTTTTCTCGTGTGGGCAAAGGCAGAGATGTGAATGAATAGGATCTTTTAAGATATTCAGCTTAAACTGAGTGTACAACAAATATCCATTTTAGTGACAAGAAAGAAAAAGAATTAAAACCTCAAATTAAAAAAATTCGTCTTTGGTCGCTAAACTACTTCATTACAGAATCCTATTTCGATTAAAATGTTAACATGAGCGTTTTACAAAATAACTACGTATTGCAGACATAAAGTAGTTTGCTTCTCTTTGGAATATGAAGCAGATATTGTAGTAGTTTTAACTTTCTGCCATCTGGAAGAAAAAGAAATACGCACACCATATTGTATGTTGCTAGATATTTCTATTTTCCTCTCTGAACCATTTCATTTCAGTTCTTTTTCTTCTACAATCGCTACTTTTTGCTGTTACATCAATGCTTTCTTAGATCATTCACCGAGACCTAGCGGCCCGTAATGTGTTGGTTGGACAAAAAGAGACTTGTAAAGTGACTGACTTCGGAATGGCCAGAGATGTGCAGCAGGAAAATATTTATGAACGAAAGACTAAGGTAATCAAGAAAAAGGGGAGGTGAGGGCGGTATTACATTTCGTTCAGTTTAGTAATCTTTCACCATCATTGTTGTGGTAAAGGTGATATATTCCTGATTTCGATCATGAATTCCTTGGGACCTTAATGAAACTATCAGCCATGCGTATACGAGTATGATTTAAAATATCACTATTTTTGACTTATCGCTTCCTATAATTCTCGAGCTGTTTCACAAAGTGTTGTTTAAAATCTTTAGGGCCGTCTTCCCGTGAAATGGACAGCTTATGAGGCCTTAATGTATGGTAAATATACCACCAAAAGTGACGTGTAAGTATAACCGATTATTACCCGTAGCAGTTTATCAAAAATTTTATAATTTTAATCAGGACTTGAGTTCTATGCTTTGCCGAAGAATACATTTATTTTATTCGTCGTATATACTGTTTATGTCTATAGTCACTTAATTTATGTTCGTTTGATTTGTCTTTCTGCAGATGGAGTTATGGAGTTTTGTTGTACGAGATTTTCACCATAGGTAACATCGAGTGGAATTTTATGAGGTTCTGTAGATGTTTTTTGCTTTATACCATGTTTAATTAAACAATGTATCGTGTTTAGTTAGACGAACGTTATGACCTTCAAACTACATCCAGTGACAGAGGCGGTGTTTCATTGAAGGTCGTTTTTTCGTTACACTTATATTTTGATGGTCTTGTGGTTCTTTCAGGCGGTTCACCTTACCCACGAATGGATGGAAGAAAAATTGCAAACTTACTCCAGGATGGATACAGGATGCCTAAACCACAACACGTCGATGAAAAATTGTAAGTTTTCTTTGTTTACTCGTTCTCCCTCGTCGTACAAGGAGACGTTCCTTAAATCTTCAACAGATCATTTGAACAATACCAGGTATCAGATCATGATGAAATGCTGGAAGAATGACCCAGACGCAAGACCAACTTTCACTGAATTGAAAAATCAGCTTAAGGACATGGAAACCCTACACAAGGTCAGAATTTTGATCAGTATGAAAGTTTCTTTTCACGTAGGACCGACCGGCTTAGGCTCAGCTAATTAGGGTTAAACTTAACAGCATTGAGCCTAAATAGCGTAGTAATATGTACTCATCTTTGTAATTTTTAAGAAATTTGCATTACATCTTTTTGTTAAGTCACTGAAGCTAGTACTCCACGAAAAACATCAAAGAAGTGAACTAGAATGTCTCAATGACAATTAACACTTTATTGTTATTTAAAAGATCATAGGATGATTGCAAAACAGCATTGAGACGCACAAAGAGTAGCAGACGACGGCGCCATAAAATACTTCGTCCTTGAATTTGTTTTGGTGTGAAAACCTTACCACTCATGAGAATAACCACTTTAAACTTTTTTAATGGTGCTGATTATTATATTATTTTTTCTCTGCAGAAGCTAATTGACATGAAAATGTACGACAAGCAATTGTATGCAAACGTCGAGGATTTAACGGTGTAGTTAGATACACATCCACGGTGTATGACCTGCTAATATTTTGAACACTTCGCCTAGACAAGTGTCAGGGATTAATCATCGTTTCTTTATACGCTTACTTGGTAGAAATAGCCATGTTGCGTTTAGCAGTTAGGCTGGAACGTTATAATTCAATTGACTTTATATTCTTAAACGCTGAAACGCTTTTATAAGTTTACCGATAAAACTTACTCTCATTTTCTCTTTAACATATCAAGTACTTACATGTATGCCTCGACACAAGCGTTTGAGTTCAGTTTATTTTCTGGCTCAATTCTTAGGTCATGATGAGATCTCGCTCTAAAAGCCGTAGTTCTGTACAATTTTAATAAATTACTAAAACATTTTGCCGCAAAACCCGCTTGTTTTCAGGAAAACTAATCGTGTGCATAAATTGCTTTCCCCAAGACCGCCTTTACTTGCGATACCAACTCGGAATACTTTTATACGGAACTCTAATCAAAATTATACTTGACACATTACTTCTGCAAGAAAGTTTGTTGTTTGGCATAATAGGGCGATAGTTTTTGCGTACTAGATACTAATACACAACGAAACTGATCGTAGATATGGGTGGAAGTCTTTTTTTCTTGGATACGTTGCTAATGTAATAACTTTAATTTTTTTTATATAATAAAAGTGTTGAAAAGTTCTGAGTTGACTCTGTCTGCATGATGATGCTGTACACGAGTTCACATCTTTCTCTCCACGAAATTGATCTAATATATCTTGACCCATCTCTGTAGATCTCTCCTTTGAAGGAAGGACAAAACCAAACCAAAGTAACAGAGCTTCCGGAAGTGCAAAAAATCGCTTGTACGTGTTTCAGGAGACTTACATCCAAGAGACCATGTTCTCCTGTCACTCTCAGTAGAGGTTAAGAGTTCATCAATCTTACATAATTATAAACTAGGTTACCTTTTGGTCAAAACCCTTCTTTCCTCAGCTGATATAAATAATTGCACTAGAAACAGTACCTAATATTAAAATAACGCTCTTTCAGTCTGGAGTAGAGGATACCTGAGGAATAGTCTTAACATTCAAATGAAGGAGAGTTTAGCGTCTGTTTGGAAATATTCCCTAACATTATTTTGTTTCTGAGGGCAAAATGATGCTTCAGCATACAGAGGAGAGGGGGTGAAATGGAGGGGGTTGGCCGTAGCTTTGCAAAATGAATTCACCGAAATTTTTATATATAGTTTTTTTTGAAGGTTTTTGCTGAGAAGAAAATGAGTCTTATCCTAACATTTCTGCAAATGTCGTACTATGTCAAATTTGCCATTCTAAACGACATCACGAGTCCACCCCTGATACAAAGATTGTGTCACTGGTGAGCTAAGTTGTAGTCTTTCGTGGGATAAGGTAAGTTTACTGAGGATAATTACTGTACTGCTTTTAGGAGTCGCTCCTTGGTAAGAATAAGTTGTTTGATAGGGTAGTTGGGTTTGTAGGAGTATCATAAGTGTTCTTTCTGTCGGTTAAATCATACCTTAACAGCTGTGTTCAGCAGTTAATAATTGATATTCTCTTACAAAATATCCAATCACAACGAGAACCCTATCCTCTTCTCTCGCACTTCGATAGAGGTGTCACTTAACCTCCGAGATTTACGCTGCTAGTCTTGAGTCACTTAGATTGCGGTTCTCCCGAGATAGGACATAATCAACTAACAAAATAATTAGTAACCGTTGCAGCTATCAAATGGTTGGCATTCAGCTTTACATAAAGACAGAAACTATCAAAAGGCCTTTTAGTCCAACCTGATTTAAGGTCTACTCTGATTTCGCTTTACAATTCATTCTGCTTTCTATCGAGAAAGAACGTCATAAAATTGTGGCCGATTATCTTCAACGATTTCTGAGAAGAATCTCATTTTTGATCATCAGTTTTACAAACCCAAAAGGTCTACACCAGTGCCTTTTATTAAATGACTCTGTTTCACTTGTGTTACGTAGTCAAGTGTGCAGAAAGTTTACGTTGACATTATACATACAATATTCCTACATATTCCTTTAATTTTCATTTTCCTCCACCGCGAGATGCTTTCTCTGACCAGAGGTCCGAGTCTGTTGGTCATCAATACCATACATTCGTCAAACACGGTGGTTATTCCTTCCACCACATTCTTCGCTGAAACGACAGCTAGTTCTAAAATCGCAACATAAAAAGCGATGCGACTAAACGATGGACCTCCCTCCAAGCTCAAAGGATCAAACCCTTAATTTCATTGATATTGAGAGGTCGCGTACTTGCTCTTCACTAAACTCAAAGGGTGCTGGTAATTTTTCTTTTTTCAAATCATGAAAAATCATTCTTGAATCCTCATTCTTAACAGTGTAGCACATGCTGTGTATGCTTGACATGTCATTTACAAATCAGTATCAGCATGACCATGCATACTAACGTAAACAATGGAACAGAATGTGATGTTCTGGAGGGATGTTACTAAAAACCGATAAACGATGAACGAGGAGGGAAGAACGGAGAACTCGGTCTTTAGAGTAATCTGCTAAGACGGTAAATTAAGCTGTTACTGAAGCGTTTTGACTTGAAATTTGACTTCAAAAGTTTAGTTTGAAGACGATAGAAATTACAGGTGAGCTAGAAATCGGGCATTTGCATCTATTCGAGAATCAATCGTTCCGCCATTTATCCTTTCTAAAAGCGCCTAAACGAAGTGATTTTTTAATCTGGAGAACTCAAACAAAGACTAGAACAAAATTTAAATCACTTTTGGTTCACTTTTACATCAAGCGATCAAGCGGGAAGCCTTTGTTTTGCCATAGTGTCTTGAACTATACGGCACACACTAAAGATGCGTAGAAAGTGCTAAGAAAAAAATCTCCCGACTTCCGACCACATTCGCGTAACAAAGAAGTCTCTCCTTTTTCATTCTGATATGCTGCTTTTGGTGTTACACACGGCTGAAGTTAAAAAGAAATCTTTGAACACGTCTTTCTTAATCAAATATAACGAAAAGTATGTGGGTCACAGTGGCGGAAAATGAAGAAAAAGACAAAGCAGAAAACAAACAAACAAGAACAATGATTTTATCTACTCACTTTGCCTCTACTTCTCAGTGAGTCAACAATATTGAACACAAAAACTTCTGTGCACTGTAACCTAAATATTTTAGGTCAAAAGTGAATAACAGCTGAAAGTCTTTTAAGGTTTACCTTTCGTCGTGAACGCCGCTGGTCACGTACACGTCGAGGAGTCCACAAACTTCTTGAAAACTGCTAACTATCTATATAATATAGATTTAGCCAAGCCCTTCATTATACTGAATAAAAACTGTAATAAAACTCTTCAGCACTGATTGTAGAAGAGTTTCCTCAAGGGGATTTAGAGACCAGGGCCCAGTTGTTTGGAGGCGGATTAGTGCTAACACAGGGTTAAATTTTAATCTGGATTTCTTCACTCCTTTGTTCGAAAGCCTTTTTGGGATCATTTCCTCTTTTCTATGACGAGCATCCAATCATCAAATTCTTATCAAAAAGAATTATACTGAATTTCTTTTAAAGCTTTCAGATCTGAAATCAGAGTTCACACTAACCCTTGGTTATCTTAACCCAGCTTTGAACAACCCAGCCCAGTCCGGAAGTTAGGAGGGGGGAAACAATTGACGAGGTCTGGAACCTAGGGACGATGCTCTCACAACTTGCAAGGCGATCAACACGCATGCTAGTCAGCGATATCTTTAAACAGCCTGAGATCCTCGTTGTTGTTCCTGATGTTTTGAGGAAATTTTCGAAGATAAAGAATGTTTTCTTCTTCAGATGAAGTGTATGATGTCAGGATCAGTTACAATTATATTCTAATGAGCGTGACTTATAATTGCAGTTTGAAAAATTAAGCCTTTATAACTTTCATGCGTTAAAATACAAACAATTTTCTCTTCATCTATGTGCCCTAAACATTACAGGGGAGGAGGCACGTCAAAGTAAAAACATGAATTAAAAAAGGAGGGCCCCCATTGATTTCAGTCCAAATTAAAGGAGGATCCTTGCCTTTCCAGATTCTAGCCCTTTAAAACTCCTGTATCTTGAAACCAATTCCGTATATCAAAGTTTCGTTTGGGTATAAGCATTGATAAGAAATACCATGCATTAATGAAAGCTTGAGAAAGAGTATTTAATGCAATCTAAATAATACTATTACATGTTACAATGTGGTAACTTATACAGCGAAATTATATTATCACACAATTCCAGACAAAGGAAGTCAGGTTATTGACTCACTTGCTTCAACTTTGAGGGATTAACGTACAGAGAAATAGATATGGCAAACAGTTACAATTTATACAAAATTGAAAGTTTGAAAGCTAAAAGATATATATTACAGTCATTACACCCTATGCATCCTAGTAAAGAAAGGGTCAATTACCACCATAACTTCTCCCTAATCTTAATGCTTATAGGAAATCGTTAATTTTGTCACAAGGTGGTATTGTACTTACAATAGTTCTACCAACACAATTACATTTTTCTAAAGTTATCTCATTGCATATGACCGAACAGGTCATGTGGAAAGTTCCTGTGTGGAGAATGACATTTCAATTACCCCAGCAAACTGTAATTGTCAGAACTGCAAGCCAAGGTCATTTACCAAGTGCTCAAGTTTCCAAATTAGTCACCTAATTGTTACAGAGGAGTTCACTCTTTTTTGAGGCTATCTTCAGCTTGATCATCTCGCTACATGTGAAAACATCAAATGTTAAAGGAAATGATCACCAACTAAAAAAGCTCTTGATTATAAACCAATTCTCCTTGTTGGCACCTTAGGAAATGTAGAGACAGTACGGAGAATACGCATACTGATGTTGGGGTGTAAAGGATTAAGTGTGATTTTTTTGATGCTATGTACTTTTCTTATGGTCATCTAATTTTAGCATCTTTTACCAGCTAATATATGAGAAGAATCAATTCCACACTGGTAATTTGACACATTGCAGGCAAACCCTACAACTGATTAAATTTTATTTGATCAAAAACATGAAGGGCCATTTTCAATAGGTTTCCTGGAAAAACCAGATTAAGGATCACCAGATCACCAGATCACCAGATCAAGGATCAAAGATCGCCGGATCAAGGATCAAAGATCACCGGATCAAGGATCAAGGAGCAAGGAGCAAGGAGCAAGGACCAAGGACCAAGGACCAAGGAGCAAGGAGCAAGGAGCAAGGAGCAAGGAGCAAGGAGCAAGGAGCAAGGACCAAGGACCAAGGACCGAGGACCGAGGACCGAGGACCGAGGACCGAGGACCGAGGACCGAGGACCGAGGACCGAGGATCAAGGATCAATTTAAAATGAAAAAAAAATTAAACTAAAATGAAATAAATTAATAGGCATGAGTGATGGCTCATCTACGTGACTCATTTAAGATCTCCCGTATGCTAAAGCGAAAATAAGAGAAAATACTAAAAAAATACTGAAAAAGCCACACCCCTTCGTGGAAGTGTCATTTTTCGCCTACCGACTATTAGGACTTCTACAGAGCAGGTTTACTTGTGCATATGCTATATCCACATGAAATTCCTAGATTATCCTGAGTGTCGGTATGAGATTGCGTCTCTGACTTCCGGTGCACTTTCAAAACACTAAGCCGTTTTTGGC